ATCCACCACATAAAAAACTTGATGTGAACTGGCATGTGTGCATTTTGCTGTGGAGTTGTCAAACCTTCAGGGCGCCTTTAGGCGACAGTCAGCCACATGTTTACAAGAGAGAACCACTGCTAATGACTTTGTAGAGGAATCTGCTGCTCTGCACTGTTCAGTGCATCTTCACATTGCTCTGCTGCCGCCACGCCTCAGTTCAACGGAGCGGTTTATTTACGCGGTAAAATAGAAGAGTACTACGCTGGCCCCAACACAAGACAATCCTGTAGACACCAGACCATCACTAGCTGTTGTTTTAGAGAGACTGCGTAAAGACAAAAACACTTTTTGCAAAGCTTGCGAGAGTTACTAGAGTCCTTGACCTGACATGAAGTACTTTCATCGCGTCAGAATGGAAAATCCAGCCCTTGCGTTGTGTCAGTCACGTACAGCATCCACACGTTCTCGCGTCTGCCTCTGCAACCGTCGTCTCAGACTGCTTGCATTACTCAGCCTCATCGTGACATTCTGTGAAAGCAGTAATTCTTGACGGAAGCCAGACGGGTGATTCAGTCCCTGGAGCGTCTCTTCAGTGAAGGCGCCAGGGGACACTTTGACTCGTTGTCGCTCATCTGGAAATTTATTTTCTCCGTTTCTACAGTGTGAAGCTGGCAGAAGCTTCCACAGGTTAAGTTAGGCTAACTCTTTTTTTTTTACAATTCAATAAAACTAAAATAACAATATTGCCTTAATTTCCAAGCACTATGGCAACTATTCTATGTTTAAGCTTCTCCATCATGTTTCAAAAGGAACCACATGATATTAAGGAAGCACAGATGCCACTGTGTTGGGTCCTTAAAGTTGAAATGACTGATGCTTAATTTCTAACAACATGCAAAGTGATTCTTCTGCTGTTTGTGTGCAACAGGTTTCACAAGCGCAGAATCAAGCTCCAAGGTATGAATCAATTAAAGCCTTCAAGGTTAATAAGATTTCAATCTGGATCCTTCTAGCTAATCAACACACTTACCATGAGCAGTGGGAATTGTTTGAGGGACTAGCTGCCATTTCTCTGACTTGTTGCCAAGTATTTGCACATCAACCAACCATATTTTTTATTTATAACATAGCTTCTACTTCTGGCTCTTGCAAGAACACCGTCCCTGTGCCCCTACGCCATCATTTCCCCTCTCAAACCCTCCTCAGACTTAAGACCAATCAGATTAAAAGGTCAGAGAGACAGGCAGTCCGTGGCGAGACAAAACTGCTGGTCTCAATGTTATTGTGGCTCTAAAACAACACGATTTACGTCCCGTTCTCATCCCCTCACATCTCTGGACTATCCAGCAGCACGGGAAAGATGACGAGGAGTCAAAATGGTGACAGGGTAGCTAACCTTGGCAATGACTCGGGGGACTGGGGCCAAGGCAGGCTCTTAGGCAGAGGAGACAGTCAGAGACAGAACGTAATACAGCTGTAAGCCCTTGACTCGTCCCCTGAGGCACACAACAATCTATTGCTTTCAGAGGCCGTCCCTGAACTCATCAGCCAACACAGGTTGGCTAAAGTGGAGCGGATTAGAGGCACAGCGGAGGGAAAACCGTGTGAAACTAAATAAGTTGCATAGACTTATTTAAAGCCACACATGTTGTGTGTGTGTGGGGGGGGGGGATTACTGATTTGTTGAAAGATGGGGGTAAAGCTTGGCAACTTTTATATTATATATAGCAATTTGGCCTGAGCAAATGAGCAACAGTTAACAACCCACATTGTCATTTACCTCATCAGAGCCGGTTTGCTGAAAGAAGCTTCCTCTTGCTGCTGGAAACGCGGTTGATGAGCTGTGATGCAGCTCAGTTGGGTGGAAAACAGTTTTTGGGTTCATCGCTGAGGCCCCTTTCACAATGCAGACGGTCATGCGAGTGCATTTCAACAGAAAAATACAGAAAGATGGAGTTTTGATTTTGGGTGCCGAGTTCAAAGCGAGGGGACAGAATCAGATGTGCCGTCACAGCTGCTTTCTTCAGGAGCGTCCAGACAGCAGCTCATTCAGAAGGTGACTTTTCATCCGTCAAAGTGTGTCGGCTTTTTATTCAGTCTGTAAAGTTTACGTTTTCATAATAAATGGAGCTCACAATAAACATTAGTTAGTATGATTTTAGCAAGTAATTTAAATGTATACAATCAGTAAACTAATCAAGTGTTTTTGATATGGAAATAGTTTAAATCAAGTGCTTGATTCCAAATAAAGGGCATAACTATGAGTGAGGGACACAGTTCTCAACACGGAGATGGTTGAGAACATTTACAGTGTCAACAGCGCTAACAGAGCTAACGAATGCAGCATAGTTGACCGAGCTAACGGTGTTAACTTGAGGGTAAAAGGGAAGGTGGGCGGCGAGCTACAGCGGTGCCGTTATTAGCGGTAATTCCAGAGGACCGACATCCACGTGCTTTTTGAATCAACCACGTTTGGCTGGACATCATGAGTTTGCAAAGATGAACTGGCAGAGTCTAGACCGTTACAATAATCGCGGTTCTTAATGCTTGTAATGGCATTTAGATAACTGCAGTCAAGCATTAGAGATTTTTATCTCAGAGACGGCTTCTTTCTTAGTTGGCGGGGTGCGAGCTCCGGCTGTCAGACTAATAACAGCAGCAAAGGGAGAGGTAGAACTGTTGGTCCTCATAGTTGGACATACCATAATCATTTTGCATGGTTTAATAATGGAAGGAGAAGCAGTGCATGAAAATAAGGATTCGCTGACATTGACACAAGAGTGAATGAAGAAACCCTAATAAAGAGAGATTATAGTTAACTGATCTTTGGTTTCACTCCCTCCAAGTTTCAAAACCATCCTAACTCCTCACACAAAAAACGATGCGCACGCTCTCAAAAGACACAGAGACAGTGAAACTCTTCACCTGCAGTACAGAGGTAGCAATCGATGACCTTCAATTCCCTGTTGGAGACCATTTACAATGCGGAGAGAATTGATTGTGGTGATTGTGTGTACTATTCTCACCAAAGCAGTCTGGCATCACGTTCAATAAGCGATGCAGTGGTGCTCTGCTGGTCTTTAGTCTGAAGAGCAGATTTATAAAAACGACTTACGCGCTACTGGCAACCTGTGAACTTTCCTGAATGTTGCTGTTGTGGCCTAAAAACAAAAATGGCTTGAATTCAGGTACAAAACAATTTTATCTTCTTTCTTATTCGGATGGAGATTGTACATGAACAGGAATGTAGCATGAAGTTATGCTAAACAGCGCTCGGTTTATTTTACTTGACAAAGTGCAACAACATTAAATCGTGACAAGTCATCTTGATCTCAATAATGATCAAATTAATCGTGATTATCTTTTTGTTAAAATCCGAAAACCCTATTTTAAAGTGTTTTAAGCCACAAAGGAAAACAGAAAACAATGGCAAAACGACAATAATAAACTATGAAAATATATGTGAAGATGGTCCCAACGTGGGGCCTAGACCATAAAAGGCACAACAAGAGAATCAGTCCCGAACGGGAACAGATAAATGTATCAAGGACATTTATACTGTGAAGGCTCAAATAGATTCTAAACACTCAGGCAACAGGGAATCGAGGCTGAACCAGGGCTAATATGTTCTCATCTCTTGGTGTCAATCTAACATCTTCTAGGTGAAGTATTTGGGATTCACTTAAGGTAACAAATTGCCTTATTGCTAAGACCTGCAGAAAGTGGATTACTAAATCCCACATGATAGGAGATAAAAACGTGGACAGCTTTGTCAACTTCGGTGAAGGTTATAGAGGACTCAATTTGAACGGCATTATAATCCCCGGTTGTCAGAGGGAATACACCAGTGAACTTTATAACTACAGAGAATTACTATTTTAAAAAGCAGCATCTGGCACTTTTTTGTGGCTTTGTGCAGGCGGTAGTGCTCTTCTCTTACTGAGAAATAACTCCTAACTCAATGTCACTACCATCACGAATGCCTAAAAAAGTGAAAATCAGTGCCAAACTTTATTCTCCATTCCTTGAGGTAACGTTCTTATTGAAATAAAAATAGTATCTCAACAGTAATATTGGAGCATTATTTTAAATACAGTTAATAATGCCGTGTAATGAATGAATGAAACAGCTAAAACCATAGACTTATGCCATAAGAGTATGTAATATTAAGTTAAGACACTTTCACTTCACTGTCACTTCTATGTGTTTGTAATGTATCTCATATGAAGTGAAGTCAATAAATAAGGAGCAAAAGCATCGACCATAAGTGTGATTTTCCAGATGTTTGAGAAGTGACCTGACTGATGATACAAGGACCTGATGAGAGTACATGACATGGGCAGATAAGTGTGAATAAGTGTAATCACAACATCAATCACAAAAGCAGGGCTTCGGCAAAGATTGAAGAAAAGAGGTGAAAGAAACTGGGACATAAAGCACCTAGAATCGTCAGCACCACGGACAGCTCATGAAACCAACGACCTCACAAGCGCTCCTGTTAAATCAATCGACCCGTAACAATCATGGCTGCTTCTTCTTCACCTCATTTGCTAAATGAGGTTATTTACACTCATTGGCATTAACAACAGGGTACAGGGCTAAATCTACCCATGTCTTCATTGTCAGCTGACAGCTTCAGAGCACTGGGGCCAACATTCAGACACACACACACACACACACACACACACACACACCAGCTGCTCTGAAGGGGTCTGGTTACACTTGCAGAGCTGTAACCCCACAGTTAACAATACTGTTGCACCACATTGCTTGCAGATCTAACAAATAGACAAAGCAGTCCAGATTCCCCTCAATAAATAGAGTCTGTTAACTTCATAAAACACATTCATATGCTAATAGAATATTAGTGAAGCATCGGTTAAAAGACGAGGCCTAAATAGTTCTCACGAAGGAGACCCTCGTGCCAGTTAATTTAATTGCTTTGCTAATAACCTAATGTTACCCCCAGCGGACCAATGACAATGGGAGTTTGGGACAGTGACAAAAAAAAAACGTACCTTCACAGCTTCGGCGTGCGTGACTTTGTCGAAGACTTTGTCGTTGACTTTCATGATTTGGTCACCGATGCGCAGACCCTCCTTCTCCGCCAGGCTGCCGGGCTCCACCAGGGACACGTAGATGCCGACCCCGTGCTCCGAGCCGCCGCGGATGCTGAAGCCCAGGCCTTCGTTGCTCTTGTGTCGCTTCATGGTGACCTGCCGTATCTCGCCCGGCGGCTCGTGCACAAAGTTCCTCCCGAGCAGCGGCACGAGGGGAGCTGTCCCGTCGCTGCTGGTGCTGAAGCTGTCCGGCGAGCCGCGCAGCGCCACCTGGAACTCGGGCCGGTTGTTGGGCGAGAAGTGCCCCGAGGGAGTCGGGCTGGCGCCGGGGAAGTCGCCCGGCGGGGGTTCGGCATCGCCGTTGCTCGATGCAACTAAATCCGACTTTAGGTAGAGGCCCTCCGAGGTGTACTGCTCGAAGAGTAGCTGGTCGGAGCGGGGGATGACCAGCCGCAGCATGGGCAGAAGTTGCCGCTTGCTGGGCGCGTTGAGGATGACGTTGAGGGTCTGAACCAGGTCGTACACGTTGCGTTTGGAGTGGTACACGTTGAGGCAGTGGATGAACTGCTCCCTCTCGAAGTCGCTGAGCAGGAGGTTGAGCGCGTTGTGCAGCTTCCTCACGTTGGCCGACAACGTCCGCGCGCTGGAGGCCACCGAGTTGGCCGAGGAGCTGAGCGACATGCGCTCCAGGTCGGTGCTGCTCATCCCGGCGGTGTGACCGGGACACGGCGCCACGCCGATGCGGGTTAGAGTGCAGGCATTGCGCGGGATCAGACCGGCGCTTGGCATCGCGCTCGCTGGAGCACGTTCACCCCGGTTGTATCCATTGGCTTGGCTGGCTCGGTCAGATTATGCGCCTGATACTATACTGCAATTTGCTGAAGAGCGCGATGACGAAAGGTGGAACTTTTAACGCGCAATTAAGTCCGACTGGTTCGATTTCACAGTTAGCACAGATTACTTAGCACTTACCACGATTTGGATGTCAGTAATTGGATTCGACAAAACTTCCCCCGCGAAAGGGTGCGTCAATACTGGACATGCAACAGCCTCGCCAACAACTCGCGCCGCTCCGCCAGAGGGCTTAGCGATGAGCCCCGGACGGACCTCAGCCTGCGCGTCATTCGCTGCGGTCTTATTTTCCGGGAGGTCAGGTGGCCGCCGAGCCGCCGCTTCTCTGGTGTCCACCCGGAACACCGGAACTCAACACGGCTTGTGCGCGCGGTCCAGAAAGAAATGGCAATTTTCTTTGCTGATTAAAACACAAATGATACAATTTTAAAAAGTTATTTTTTGTGCTCGCCGTCCCGAGGGGGTTCCGCGTCGCCTACTTTCCCGCTCCGGTGTCGGTTCTGGGTCCAAACGACTTCCAGTCAACACAGATACACATCCAGCAATGTCACGCGCCGCGCGCAGCGTGTACTCCGCAGTTTGTACCTCGGTTTGGGGGTTTCTTTATCCGTCCGGCCGCTGCGTGGAGGTGACCTGCGGCTCCGTTTCTCCGTTACTACGGCGACGGAGTGGCGACTCGCGGCTCTCTCGCCTCAGAGCGTCCTCTGCCCGGAAGTGACGCAGCCAATACGTCGCTCAATACCAAAAGCATGCGCTCAAACTCCCACGGCACTTCCGGGAGCTGTAACTAAACGAGTCACTAAACACGACTGTGAACATTGTGGTAGTCTGCTTTTTATTCTGAAGCGTGGTAGTTTGTATGTTTTTATTTTTGTACCACAGGAGGAAATGCAGTTTCAAATGGGTTTTTTTCTTTAAGCACTATGTCATCACACAATTTCACTCAAAGTTGTCGGTCTTGTAAGCTAGTAGAAATAAACTGACGACGCGGTTCATAAATTAACTATTAATTAAAATGCATTTAGTATACACCAGAATACAGCCATGATTCTGGAACTATGTGAATATTGTAAAGCCACTAATCAATAGAATAATACCAGTGAACAGCTATGTGTCACACAATTGACCACAGCATAGTTTATTTTCATCATCACTGCATGTTATCTAACTCTCCTGTCATTTCAGATCCTCCCACATCATCAGCTCATTACCCTCACCTCAAGCACATCCCCTCATCAGCCACTCACTATTTAAGCCCGTCACATTCTGTTGTTCCCTGCCAGATTGTCTTATTATTTTGCCGGGTTTTCCGGCGGTTTCCCAGTTACCCCGATTTACCTCTGTTTTGACCCTGCCTGCCTTTCGACCCCAGATTCCCTGCCTGCTCCTTTTTTTGATTTGTTCGCCTCCCTGATTGCCACCCTGATTCTGACCCCTGGCTGTTCCCGTCTACGGATTCCCTGCCTGCCTCTCTCGGATTTGTTTGCCTACTGACGGATCTCCCGGTTTTTGGCCTTACCCGACCTGTTGATTAAATCTACTAGTCCCTCCCATCTTGGTCTGAGTCGTGCTATTGGGTTCCATCGTGCACCGGTACTAGTAACCACGACACTATGATTGTATTCAATGTAATGTAACCAACTGAAATGCACTTGATAGCACCACAACTGGTATTGACTGAGAGACATTTGAAATCCGAGTTACATTGAACTCACTAGACTGGTTATAGGCTACATTAAGTCAACAGTGAACTGGCAGGACATTTTGAATATTTATTACATTAAAAACAAGATCCCATATGCACATGGACAGGAGGGGTAGTAGTAGTAGTAGTTGATCACTACTTTTTTTTTAGTGATCAACAGGCTCATCTCCCTGAGTGTCGCCATTTTATACATCAAATCAGGAAGTTCTATGACTTCTCTGTTGTGCCCTCTAGTGCAGTGGTTGTCAACCTCTGGGTTTGCCAGATGGTGAAAAAAATGAAACATAATAATTAGTATAATTTGCCTCAGAATAGATCGTGTGTGTGTGTGACAGTCGACCTGAGCATTCATTCAAATCTGACAGTTCAACAAAAGCCACTGTACGCTTCAAAAATCCACATTGCCTCAAGACCCGTTTTAGTTACTGATCGCTATGAAACGCAGTTCAACACAGCTTCATGGGGATTATTTCAATTATTCTGTGGGTGCATGACCAGAAGGAGTTGAGAATCACTGCTCTATTTGAGTCCTCAACCACACACGTAGTAACAATTCCGACCACAATGCAGCGTCTCAGGGTTCTAAGAAGCTGTATCTCTGGCCTCAGTAGTACCTCTCCATGGGATTCATCAGTTTTGGGTTATCTGTCTTGTCCCCAGCAATACAACACATGTGAAAGGGAATACATGAGGATGGACACAACGCAGTGTACCTGGATAACTGGCTGGATCCTAAGAAGCTCCATGCAGCTGCATGATGATGGTGCTGCCCATGATCCATTCGCTAGACAACCATGTGTTCATTGAAGCAAATGATAAGAGAAGCGTATCTGTTTATCAGAATAACCCAGAGATTGTGTCCACCTCTGCTACTGAAAAACCTTGATAAAGCAAGCTTTTCTTTCTTTTCATGTCCGTGTGGCTCAGCAGACTGTGTGCAATCGTGTGTGTTTGTGCAACTGTGTGCGTTTGAAGTTGATCGATGACAGTAATTAGAGGAGTTCACCAATGGGAAACACTGAAAAGCCAAACGGCATTAGAATAGAAAGAGACACACGCTGCACAACAAGCGTGGCAGCACAGGAGAGATACTTGTAGGTCGCCGCGTGTGAAGGCCACAGTGAGGAGAAGACAGTCAGTGAATACAAGGAATACTGAAATAACGCCCGCAGAGAAGATTATTTCTGCCATTATCTCAGTTTTCAATTTTAACTGCAGAGGCTCTTAGCCAATGTTACGGCCGGGACGTGTTCTCCCAGGACTATTCACATGTTAATGAAGAGATGGCCGCCATAAGATTAACTGCTGCATTATGAAAACAGCTCCGGGTTTGACTTTGTGTGCATATGTCAGACAGATATGGTGCAGCTTTAGTTTACTGGAAGATTATTGCTGCTCACTTTAGCTGATGAGTAGGACCAGGGCACTTTGCCCAAGGAAAAGATTTCAGAAAATAAAGAAGGCTGCCTCGGAAAATTACACATTTTATGGTTAAATAATCTTTCTGAAGGCTTAACAAGGCTTAATCACATCACTTAATAGGTTTAACTGCGTATGACTCAAATATGAACTGAATCATCAGTTTACATGAACTGGAAGATAAATGATTGGCATTCAAAATAAAACTCATATTTAAAAAGGTTATCTACAATGGTTTAGAGAAATGTTTCTCAAACTGTGGGGTGCAACCCTCTGGTGGGTCATAGGGGTATTACAGGTGGGCCACATGGAGATCCATCTGCAAACCGCTTATCCTGCGGGGGGGCTGGAGTCTACGCCAGCCGACTTCAGGCGATAGACGGGGTTCACCCTGGATTGGTCGCCAGCCAATCACAGGGCTACACAGAGACAAACTACCATTCACACTCACATTCGCACACCTACGGGCAATTTAGAGACCCCAATCAACCTGATCCCCAGAGCATGTCTTTGGACTGCGGGAAGAAGCTGGAGAACCCACGCAGACACGGGGGAACATGCAGACTCCACACAGAACGGCCACTGGGCGGAGTCGAACCCAGGACCTTCTCCGCATGGAGATATTTAGAATTATTTTATTTCAAAATTACATGGAGAATTTCCAATATTACAAAAAGTACACAGACTGCTGTTGCCTCTCAGACAACTGAATAGAGATCCAAGGTCATCATTGAGCATGAATTGAAAGTGGCCGTACAAAGTCTGCAACCCGGTTTTGAAAAGATTTTCAGTGGATAGCAGGCTCATTGCAGTCACTAATACGGATAAAACATGTTTGGTTGAATATTGTATGCAAAACTCTATAACACCTCTGTGGGAAGCACAAACTATCACTAAATGTAATTAAATTGCTGTCGTTAACACTCAAAATATGATTTGGCTCAAGTGCCACAAAATAGCCCCTCAATAAATTCCCATCAGTTTCCATTGAGGAAGAAATGATACTTCACAACACCTGCAGAGATCAAACAGGCGCATTGGTGCCTCGCTCCAAATGTGCACTCCTGGTTGCTAACATGCTCAGAGTGAAAATGCTAACAAGGAATATTTGCAGTTGAATGTTTACATCTTAATATCATCTTGATCATTACTTTATAGAAAAGAACAAAAAAAAGCTGCATTTTTGAGGTAGTTATAGAGACACGTTCTGACAGCATGACCATTAAACAATCCAAAAGCATGTTTGCAGATTATGCAAACTAATAAAAGGTTAGCTTAAGCAAACTGCATGAACGCTATCCTCACAATGAGGCTTCTGGAGATCATTTTCTGAACAAAGACTGGTGACTCCTGGATGTTTTGCAGGCTGCAGGGACCCCACGCCTTGCATCAATCTCTTTACATGACAACTGAGCATATAACCAAACGTATCCCTTCAAACTAAATAAATGTGCGTGCTTTGAAGCAGTTTATGTGATTTGAAGAACAGTTAAACAATCCATCCCTTTAATGCTTTGAGCTGTCATTTTTTAGTAACACCGCTTTGATGACTGGTAAGTGAGTGGAACAACTTGAATGCATCATTTATTTATGTGACAAAGCCTTGTTGAGTCGGCCAACAATAGAGATGACTGCTATACCTCAGAAAAACAGCGTTGTCATCATTTCTAAAGAACAGCTCACTTAAGACTTATCTTGTAGAGTTAACATTTATGCAACAGGAAAAACTTAAAGAGGAAAGGTTCAGCTAATGACACTCAAACAACACGGATAGGCCCACAGGTTTTACATCAGAGAATTCTATTCTCTCCACTTACAAACAAAAACAACAGAAAAAGGTAACGTTAGCTCAGCTCATACAAGACACACACACGCACGGTTCATATCAAGAAAATTACAATCAGGATGACATATCGTGTACTTCTCTCGCTCATGCGCACACACACATACACACACTAGTAGTTAATGTCCAGCATCAGAATGCAAACATCTGTATCCTTACACAATAAGGGTGGATGAAATCCAGCCTTCTGATTGGCTGAGTCACGGTGTGTACTGTAATGAGCCATAATGTGCACCTGTATACATGTTCCAGATCAGTGAGCACTTACAATAGCTTTCATTCCCCCATCTGGGGAAGTGCTAGCTTTCACAACCAATTATAACATTATTGACAACAAAGTACGGCCTCTCTGACCTTATTGATAATTATTGCACAGCGGCCAATTGTGTTTGTCAATCAAGCAACAATGAAAACACACACTGCTCAATAAAAATTTTAAACCCAAAATAATTTCCGACTCACCAATCGGTAGATTATTTGTACATAAAATCCATCTGCCGCCCGTGAAGACGTCAGTCACAGCTTGTGTGGTTTTGACTTTGAATTTCGCAGGTATTACGCTGACCACGTGGCTGCTGTAGTGACGTCAGCTGCGCAAATGTCCGGTAACATCTCGATTTTAATTGGTCCATGTTTGATACGCGACGTACATGATTACTTGTATAACATATTTACGTGCACAGCCACAGAGTTGTACTTTTTTGCTGTACACGTTAAAGAATACATGATCAAACTGCTTTTTCTTATTTTAACGTCCAAACTGCCATGTCGGACGCTCGGACTCTTAACAAGCAGACGAGTGAGGCAGCAACAGGATGGTTTTCGGCCATTTTCCCGGCTAACAACACCAGCTGAGCTACTAGCTACACAGCGAGCTAGCCTCACATGCTAACAGAGTTAGCGCAGGAAGCTAAGCTACCTGCGGGAAGTGAAGCGGTGAGGCGCGATTAACGCTCCAGAGAGACTTAAGAACACGTGGCGAACAAAGAGAAACCCATTGAATCCATAAAAGCGTCCTACGGTTACATTAGCGACGCGTTAAGAGAGTTCACTTATTAGCAAACAAGACTGGATTTTAATTGGTGGAATTGTGTTTGACACTAAATTCTATGTAGCATATTCTGTGTAGGAGTAACAGTCCACTGGGAATACATGAACTATATGTACATATCACAAATAAAAACAGGAATATAACTAAATAACATATGTTCAAATATATGAAGAAAGACGTTTAATGCCACAATTTGTATCTTAAATTGGTACAAATCTAAATTATTGGAAGGAAGGTGAAGAAATGGCTTAAAGACAAAATGTGATAGCTTAAAACGACTGTGTATTGAAACAGTCTGATAATCTTTGCCCCTGCATGCGGCCTAATGAAAATTATTATTTACAAATTCCAACCTACAGTAAAATAAAAAACGCATTCCATTGCATCAGAAATAATTATCCAAAGTAAACCTAGGAGACTGAAAACACGAGATGAAAAAATGCAATTCCTGACGGAACTTAACTGTACTGTGCACAATATAGTGAATAAAGAGAAGAAAAAATATATAATGCACATCTATATACTTTAATTCCCAATAAAATACTTCTGATCCAATACAGTGGTGTTGAAACACTTTCCCCAAATGATATCAATGTGACGAATATGATTCTGACAACCCGTATCTCTCCTTCCTCCCGTCCTTCACTCCCCTGCCTCTCTCTTAATTTCTCATCTGAGAGACCACAGGGTTGCGGTGACATTTGTCTGATAGATGACAGCTCCCAGGACAGCCTGGTGCCGAGTCTCCGGCTGCTCGCATGGATTCCACTCCCAGAGATCAGAGGAGTCGCACCATGCGAGTGGGAGTCTGCACCACCCACTGATCCTCCCAGAGGAAGGAAGGAAGATGAAGAGGGAAGATAATCACATGTACCTTTTCAGACACTCCGCAGATGTCTTTAATCCTTTTAATGTTACAGTATTTTTAGTGGGTTACTCTCCCACAACCTTTTTTGGCATAAAGCCTTTCACATCTGAGCACACCTGACCATCTGAAAGTGTCCCACGCTTTTTTTTTTGGCCTCTCATTCAAAAAGCTTCTTCACTCTCAAGGTCCATGGTAGACTTAGAAAATGCTGCATGCACAGCCAGCTAAAGTGCTAACATAAGAAAGCCGGCTTAAAGCCGACCCCACTTTCCTACTGTTTAGTCATAGTCACACAGGTGCTCTATTGGATATGTAACCACACCCAATAGTGATCGACACACCATGGAGTGCACTTTAAATCAATCAGTCACAGAATAATGAAAGCAATGTTTTGATCGCGATTTGCAAACGCAGCACGCTTGAGTTCCACACTCAACTTATTGCGAGTGGTGCTGGAAAGCACCCCGACAAGAAAGATTACAAACTCAAGGAGACGTGCACAGCCCAGGAGAGCAGGGCTGTGCACGGGTCGATAAAGAACGGCCTAAGAACGTCATTGGTATCCATCTGTCGAGCATTTGGTGAGATGAGGTGCCTGTGAAGAGCCTCAGGAATACTAAAGGACTGTGTCCGCCTGTCCTCCGCCGAAACGGAAGTATCGTGTTTTACAACCAGACTACAGAGCAGCTCATTTGCTCAGGCTGTGAGACTCCTCCCCTCGTGCTCCGTGCTGCACCATGAAAATAGTTTTTGTTTCATTTTTCTCCCATAGCATAAAGAGACAACGACTCCCATTTTGTTGTGGAGCCCTAACTGTTGGAATGACGAAAGGCCGACCATGTGTCCCTGGCCTCAATCTCCCAAAGTAAGACCGTAAACATGAGTGTATGAAAATATCAAATCCCTAAAAACGGCTCAAAAGGTCTGGTGATTCCCCCAGAAAGGCAGGTTTCCCCCGAGGCTTCAAATCCAGCCTTTGTTCTCCCCCCACACCGGCAGGCACACGTGCTGGAGACAGTGCAACATGCTGAATTGCTCATGGCAACACTCAATGAGTTGAATAAATTGCAGCGAAAGTGAAGCCATTCTTACGGCTTTTTCAACCCAATTTGTTGGCAAAAAGCTTCCCGACAGCTTGTGAGTACAGGGCGAAAAACTCCAAATTCACCCTTGGGCAACAATTAGTAACCGAAAAAACATTCTTCATTTTCTTTAGGGAGCGAGATGCAGCTTTAGGCCTCAAGCTAAACTCAAACTCTCAGAACCAAACCACAGCAGTAGTTCCACTCAGCGTCCTGCAAGTCAACAGCACTCTGAACCTGAGGAACACCCGAATCTAATCATGCACAAGATTTAAAGAATGTTTGATTATATTTGGGGTTCAGACCATCTGGCCGTTACGTAAATCCCACACTAGTTATAGGTAATACAAGTAATAGCTCTGATGGGACCAATGCAAGAGGATTATGTGTGGGTGGGTTGGCACCATCTTTTTTTAATGAAATCCTTCAATGTATTTAAATACTTTACGTACCCACATTTACATACCAATAAGTATCTGGTCAGGATCAGGTTTTTGGAATATAGCGTAAGGCCTTATTCTGTTTTTTAGAAACTTGGATATATTATCTCTAGTACACCAATAGAAGCCAGTGTTATGTTACATGTTAACACGATATAAGTTAGTTTCTTTGTAAAAATCCTTTGTTGGTACAAATTATGGTGACTAAGTTAATTAGATATAAATAATACAATAAGAAAATGCCATATAGCTTCAAGGGTATTCTGAGATGTAAGGGATGCAGAACATGTTCTAATAGGAGCAAAAAACAAATATCCCAAACAATAGACGTGTGGTTCCGTGTCCCGACTGTACAATCACAATATTTCACATGCTGCATGCTTCTGCGGCAGAGATTTTAATAAATGTCAGGAGGCTGGAAATCAACAGTGTTTTTTTTAGACTGTACAGTAGGATGTCAACACACTTCCCCCACCAGCCTTGAATTGATTAAGGCCTCCTGTGTGCGTCTTGCTTTTGTTGCTGCAGCAGTGACTTCCCCCAAAGCCTGCTGCAAAACACACAATGAGTACAGCTTTTATTAATGAATGTCCCTTTATGTATTGCATGAATTGATTGTTAATTCCTATGGACATTTTATGCGTAGGCAAAAAAAATGATCCATTAAACACCGATAACTCATGAAATATGTTGGACCGAGCAATGACAAGCATTGATAAGCGTTGATTAGCAATAAAAAGCATAAACACGGTCCTGCAAAAAGGAAAATTGTTTAGCTTTCTTTTAAACGGTCGGTGAAACAGGCAAACACTTAAGTGACAACAGAACGCAGAGGCTGAAGGGGTTCTTGTGTAAAAAAAAGGAAGAAAAAAGCTTATTTAATGAGGACTCCATACATATGCTGCTGGTGGTGCCTTGTGTTGCACAAGCAGCACATGCTTGAGTCTTCTGCTTGTTGTTCGTCACCTTCCTTTTGTACCTGCTGCAGTCTCCAGGGCTTCACACACTCTCCCTTAAATATGTGTAGATGAGCGTTTCCTTGTCAGAGCACTGCTTTGTGATTGGTTTATGTGTAAGCCAATTGAATTACGTTGTAGAATGACAGATGGTTCCTGCTGCCCCCTGGTGGAGAACTGCCGACATCTACTTTCTAACATTCGATCACTGTCGAATGCTTAAGATGCTGTTGGTTGAATGTGTCATTCCAAAGCACGGCACTGACCATGATTTGTGCATGGACGTAACTCCATAATGTAGTCAGTGTTATGAATCTCTCGAAAGTTTCTGCAGCCTTAAAAAAAAAAAATTTAAAAAATTTAAAAGACCCAAAACATTAATTGAAAATATTTATTCAAAAACTGAGTTGGCAAGAAGGACGTTTGAACTTTGTAATAAGCACAACTTGAGTTACAAGTGCTCGATCAGTCGTCTGTACAGTGGATGCGGATTTAATAAATGATTGGCCAGAGACAAAGTACCATGAAATATGCAAACATGACAAACAGAAATCTGAACATACCGGTAGTTAATAATCCGTGTGTACAAAAGTGGAAAACAAATGTTGACCTTAATTAAAATAAATACTTTTCATGCCCGCATGTAATCAAAATAAGGGCTATGGACTCGCAGGCCAGCGCAGCGCCTCAGCCAGCGTGGAGAGAAGTGAGGACTGTGTCCATAGGCGTGTTGTCGCATGGCTCAATCTAATCTATCGATTGAACCAGCAAACACATAATGATCAGGTCTTTGAGCCTCGGCCCAGGAACCCGGCAGGCAAGAAACAGATGAACTGTGCAGATGTTTGGTCATCCATGTAGAACAGTAGAGTTGTCATTTTGCTATGGCTTTGATTCAATGATAATCACATGTATTAGTGTAAGATTCTGCCAATCAGATAAGAGTTGTAGATAAGAGACAAAATGCTACGAAACCGTTTAGCCTCATTCGTTTCAAAGTGTTTTAACTTTTTAACAATTGCAAATCGCAAAACAACCACAAGAACCTATTTTTAATGTTGGAAAAGGAGTAATTGCCTCTCAGTGGAAGAAGCAGGGTTGAAGCATGGGAATCTAAAGTGAACCTAAATAACTGTGAAAGCCGACTGAGCGACTCTTCTGGCACCATCTTATCTGAAGACCTTTGTGTTCTGACTCGACATCTTCCAGACTCTTGAGTACACGTGAGTACAGAACACAGATCTCCAGCTTATGAGGCAGAAAAAACACAAGTACAGTAAACAGAGTTGCATTGCTGTTCAGTAAAAATCATCAGGGAGTAGCATTGTTTGACATGTTCCTTCAATACTAATGTGTATTAATACGCTACTGAAAATAGTCCAACAAATTGGCTACTTCCTCCCGTTTGACAAATTACAGTGCCAACCATTTGATAAAATACCTGAAAAGAAACCTAAAACACGGAGGAATTTAACATCTTCAGTAGTCAGTAAGTATTAAAAGTCAGACTACAGTTAATCATTTCAATCTTACCATGTTATTCAAATACAATAAACACAAAAAATGACACTTACGTGTGTGTAAGGGTTTTTGCAGGGTTAGTAAGAAGTCATTTTATCTGGAATATTACATTCATAAAGCCCAATTTAAATTTGGAGTTATGGCTTCTACCAAGTCAGTGGTGTCTTCCCGTCCCACATGAGTGACGTCAGTTTTTAATAAGCATTCCCAACAAAGCACCTGAAACCAGTTTTCACTTTTTATATGCAAATGAAATAGGATTAGCAGATGAAGGGATAAAGAATAAAATACTGTGGAAGAAACTATTTCAAGATGAAGCACAGCCATTCTTCTCAAGTAGAAAAAGGCATGTTCTCTAATTGGTAAGTTTAATTGCAACACAAATTAAAATGCAAGAGTAACTAAGATATTTGGAAGGCCGGTGTAAAGAGCAGACGGGAAAAAAAAAAGAGGTGATGTCGTTGAACATGAAAACCAGAAAAGGATCAATAATCAGCGGACACACGAGTTAGAAACAATTTACACAAAATATTTACACCTGTGTCGCTTGGTCACACACACACACACACACACACCCAGAGTCAAAGTACAAACCCTAAATCACACTTTCACACGTAGCACTTCACAAATAGACACCACTGATACAGCAGCAATGAACAAAAACAAACAAACAAACAACAAACCACTGGAGCACAGTTTACATCTCAGTAGGCACAGCAGAGCGTTGGCAGATGTAGTGCACATTCAATGACGTCTCTGTAACACACGAGTCCGTTAACAAAAAGGGGACGATTAGAACTTAACCCGGAAGTCCGTTCAAACCACGGAGAGAAACAGGAATCAACACATCAACGCTTTTTGGACCGAAGAAGTGAAGGTAAAAGCAGAATAGTGAAGGTCCAGGGTCGTCACAGCAGCTCCTCCAGACGCCAGACACGCCCCTCAGACGCCAGACACGCCCCTCAGACAAAAGCCCAGGGAACTTTAAGTGACTGTATGGAGAACCAGCGCTGGCACACAACTCTACATCACATTGGACGGGAGGTCAGGGACTGCTACGCAATCAGGGATGAAGAAAACTACATGACAAACCTCGTCCTCATCACAGGGGGCGTTTGAAAAGGGGCCCGAGTGAGCGGCCCCGTGCACAGCGTCCCAATGATGGCGTAAGGACCTGGTTTGTCTCCGTCTAACTTCACAGCGAATTTAAGACTCAATGAATAGTCATCTGTGTAATCTTTAACAAGTGGGATGACAATCACACAAGAGTTTATACAAAACACACTTAACAAGTAACCCTGAATGACCAGAAGTTAAAGTAAAAGAAAACAATGAACATTCATTAGTAAAACAAGAGGTCGTTGTGTGTGCAGCTCCAACTAAACACCATCCACCAGAGTCTTTAAACATGAACGTCACTTTACGTGGTGGTTCCTGTGTAATAAGATTTATCATTTTTTAGAGCGCAACTAGAACCAGGTTCTTGTGTCCAAGCGACTTGTGTCCAGTACTGAGAGCGAGAGCTGCAGACGACCACCCTGAACAGGCCGTCATGTAAGAGGGCTTAATTCCTACCAGTGACGGGCTCAGTTTGTTGGTGTCTGACAGCATCAAAGAGCGGCTCCCGTTCTCTCTTCATGCGGCTTGTTAGCCGGTTAGCTTTGGAAAGGTCTCATTCTAATCTCCATTGTAGAAATCATCTAACTGCTCAGCCATGACATGGAGAATCTTTCGGTCCTCCAACACAAGCTCTGAACAGGCTAACAGTGACCTATGACCTGCTGGTGACCTCACAGGAGACCACCTTAGTCTGCTGAACTCCGTTGGTCTGAAAAATGAGCTCAACACCTGACGGACTGACCAGAAAGCAGCCAAACGAATTGAGGCAGAGATTCTTTTTTACGTCTTAAAAAAACGTCCGTTTACTTTTATATTGACTTAGTAAAGAATGACCTGTAGCTGCCCATTCCTCTTCATCACTCAGGAAGGGACAGTTCAATTCAATTTACAACTTTTGTTATTCAAGGTCACTCTGAAACATGAGCAATCGCACTGGCAGATGAACAATGTGTGTCTCCTCCTCCGGAGCAATCGGCTTAAACACGAACGTAGCTGAAGGCGCTTTAGACATTTCATTATGGTCTAACATCAGCCAATTAATGAAGCCAGAGTGCCATTTTCTTGTTTCTCAGCTAGTCAGAGCCGTTATAAAAAGAAAAAGCTTTTTACGATAGAGACCAGCTCTAACCAACATTTTCCTTAGGAAAAATAAAGCCAAACGTGAAGAAAGAACTAAAAAGCAAAACTAAACTCCTTCTGGTGGAAACGTGTCAAACTTTAAAGAACCGCCGGGCCGAGTGTCGGTGACAGTCTTTGACCCGTGCAGGCCTCCGTCTCACACATGTCCTCCGCGCTGACATCACTTGGGCGCGGAGGGCCATATGGGGAGGACGTGGGCCTCCGTGTTGAAGACGTACTTGTCCAGACTGAGCAGCTCCGGGTCGTCGGAGAAGAGCAGGTAGAAGTACTTCAGCGTCTCGCCCAGGAAGAAGCTCTCCATCTTGTCCCGGGGCCCCGGGTTCAGGGGGTCACGGACGTTGTTGATGGACGTGTAGCCGCCTCCGGGGACCTAAAGAGGTGGAGACGTTCAGTCAGGTGGTATAAGGACACAAAATGTCACGTTAGTGGTAGTTTTAACAATCAGGGCCGTACTTTAGTGTAGTTATTGAAGCTCTGCAGTATTTCCCAGCCCCAGTCTCTGTACTTGGTGTCCTTGGTGAATCGGTACATGTAGAACAGACTTTCTACCGTCTCTGGCCGCAGCAGGTTGTGTCTGTCTGCAGGCTGGACATCAAAATGGGAGAAAGAAGATTTGGTCAGTTGTTGCTCAAAGCTCATTAAAAGACAGAAGCCACTGGGGCAAGATTACATTACATTACAGGTCATTTATCCAAAGCGACTTACATTACATTTTTAACCCGTGGCTTTTACATCTTTGCCCGGGGAGCAATTAGGGGTTAGGTGTCTTGCTCACTTCGACATGGGACATGGGGCAGCCAGGACTTTAACCACCAACCTTGGTGGTTCCCAGCGTGGTACCCCCCCCCCCCCTCTACCCCCTGCGCCACGACGACCCCAAGATGGCGGTTTGCACATCTCAAAACAAACTATAAAAATGTGCCTTATCCTATCATTTGTGCAATGAAAGTGCTACAAATGTGTCAATATAACAGATAAACATTACATAAAAATATTTCATGGGTTTACAGAAAAGGAGTCTGTCTGCTGTCGATAAAACAACTAGCGAGGCTCTGGAGCCTCTTTTTAATGGGGATTTTTATTTATCCAATTTGCTTTATCGTACTGACATAAAAGCCACCTATAAACAACGGTTTAAACATTTAAAACAATCCAAGGATTCGCCAGCATGCGACCCACGTGTCTTTGATCACAGACTGTGTTTAACAAGTGAAGTACTCATACCTGATAAATCTTGTAAAATCTGACTTTCATTTCCATAGTTTGTAATGCTGTAATCGGAATGGGCTCTTTGGCATGTTTTACATTTATATTTGAGGTTACTCAAGGCGTCAGTGGAGATGCTTTGATCAACGTGGAGCAGTTAATGAAAAAGAAAATGTGAGGTAATGGACACAACTCCCATGACAGTGTTACTCAGCAGAGGGCGCATTCATTTTCGTTATTGGAGCGTCTTTCAAATTAAAGTATTCATTAGAAAGCACCAATGTGTCCCACACCTAAAGGAAAGACTTTTTCCAATTGTGCACCCATTTGAATTGAATTAACAAAGAAGTTTCCTTGTTATTTCTTTACAAAAGGTCAGTTGCAATTGGGAGCATTCTTCTTAGTTTTAACTGTATCGGAAATCAACATTTTGATAAGTCCCAGTACATGAGGGCTATAGTAGAGAGAGACACGCCTAAATCAGACATGAACATCATATTCGCCCAGCCAAACAGATGTTTAAAAATAGTGTATAAACCAAAAGATATAAAAAAGGAAATCAGCAATAACATGGTAACAAATAAAGCCAGCATTCCGGTATGAGCGTCACCTTGACAACCACATCGTTCCCATCGTTGGCCTGCAGGTTGAAGTGTACGATCTCCGGGCTCAGCCCAGTCTCCATCTGTTTGTACATCTGGTGACACGTCTCCATCAACTGCACAGCCAGATCCATGTGGTCCCCCGGGAGGCCGTTGTGGGCCCCGAGGGCCAATGTCCCCGGGAGGAAGCAGACAAGGTGGTCCTGCAGAAAGAGAGAGAAGCGCAATCAGGAAGGACGACACTGAATCAATCGGACCCGGCTGATGGACAAAGCGGCACGTGTGCACGGCTCCGGAATCCATACAAGCAGGGACGATGATTAATTGAACAAGGTGGTCATTCTGTTTGGGCCTTGTGCTAATTGGCTACGACAATCAGAGGTCCTCGTGCTGTGAGCAGCGTTTAGCGACGATACTATGCAACCCTACAAACTGAGCCCTCGCGTTGTAAAGCTGCGCTGGGGATCAACTGGTGACCTGATGCCGGCATGGGCATGTTGCTCAGTGTCCTCCGGGGAGCATCCCTACCATTTTAGGGTTGAAGCGGCTATGGGACAACTCTCCCACAAAAGTCAATTTGCTGGGCCCCGTCTGTCTCACAAGATGTTTTCTCACTCCATCCACAGCCTGAAGGTAGTCCTCCAACAGGCTACAACAAGACACACACACAGGAAATGGGGCAGAAAGTGACAGTCGATAGAATATCAGTCAGTCCCTGGTCACTCAGTTTAGGGCTGTGCAATATGAACGCAGTAATCACCATTTAAAAAAATAAAAAAATGTGGTGTTGACTAAATCACAATATGGCAGACACAAATAGACATATCATACTCAACCAAGAAACAAGATTACTAAATATGATCTCATCAATACACTTAAAACGACATTGGATCATCTCGTAGCTCTCATCCCGTACACTGAATGTCACGTCGGATCATGTTATTCTCAAACTGCGCCTTGCTACTGGCTGTGTTGTTCCAGCTTAAAAACCCATTGTTTCCTGTCACAATAACAAAACATCAACTGAGAAAAGCCAAGTTGGATTTACTCGTCTTCCGTCTTGCCTCCCTGGATCCACTGCTTGAGCAGGTATTCATAGTAGCTGTCTGCCCTGGCGCCCAGTGTGAAGACTCCTTTGTGGGTGAACTGGCCAGTGTTGGTGTTGATGAACATGGGCACCAGGCCGTCTTGTTTGCCCGGCAGCTTGTGGACCAGCTTCATGACCTCGTTCACAACCTCCTGGTAAAAAAAACAACAAGAAAAAGGAGCTGCCATTAGCATGCAGCCATGAGATAATGAACCAAACAGCCACTCTTTCCACACTGCTGGCGTGTGACCGATGGGTTTGGAAAATACTGCAATTTATTAATGGAAAATGATTTCCAATTTCACACTTTGATGAAATCGGGGCTCATCGAATGCTCCGTCTCAACGGCCTGTCTAAGGTTAGGACACAAATTACTCAAATTCATGTCAGCTTGGGCATAAAACCTTCAGGGGAAACCTCGGTTTTCTGGAATCACTCATAAACTGACAACCTGATGGATTCAACACAAATCCTAGCTCACGCTGGTCCCCTCAATCACACAAATGTGTGCACGTTGTACTTAATGTCCCATTCTAACGTGAAGCCTCCATCGGACTGCTAGAGAAACCGCCTCCAATCATCTTTCACTCCATCTCAGAGATCTGCCACGTGAGAGCGAGGGGACACGCCCACCAGAGCACGTTGGCCCGGTCCGGAGGACCTCTTGGTATCCTGACCTGGTACTGCGGGTCCTGAGTGAGGCGGCTCAGCTCTCTGAATTCCAGCTGAATGCTTGTGACCTCGGCCAGCGTGCTGTCGGACGTCCATCGGGGGGGGTGGGCTGTCCCCTTCCCGATGTTCACGTCAGAGAACGGGATCTTTGAGGGAGTTTTGAAGGCAGGCATCAATCTGGACCCGAGATCTTTCTTTAAGTGGAGACAGGTAGAATTATGGGGGGGGGGGGCATATATACATTTTAATAATCAGTTAATAATCATTCACTTTGTAAATCTGAAAGCCCTGGTTAAAACTGAACTGAATTAAGGCAGAAGACTCTGAAAACTCAACCACTCTACAATATAGTAAACTACACAGCTACATGTTCAAATGTGACTCACAGCTTTCTCCAGAAAGAGTCGGTCTCCTGTCAGGTGGAAGGTGCTCAGCAGGCCCCCGAGAACACGGATGGTTGTCTCAAAAAGATTCACGTCCACGTTCTTGTCAAAAGACAGCTCTTTCTCTACCCAGTCCCTTGCTTCTGCAAACTCTGTGTGGGAGTGAGAGTGGGAGAGAGAGCGAGAGAGAAAGAGAGAACAAGGGGAGGAAAATATTTCAATTTTCTGACAGCAGTGACACTACCCAGGGGATGAAAAATGTTGCTGACATTGATGGATACAGAAGGGACTGTAAAAGGCTTTATAAAACTGTTTTCTGTAGTACTTTTTGTAGAGTATTTTTTGTCACACTTAAATGATCCAAATTTCAATTCTAATAACCGGCCATGAGAAGCGGCTTGTTTAAGGTCACAGCATCTCAATGGGATTTAAGTCCGGACTTATACCAGGCCGCTCCAATTCATGGTTCCATGGCAAGTGGTCCATCACACCACCCCCTTGTGTGCGTTGGTATGATGATTACTCTCCCATGCAGCCCATGTTTGCCCCGACTCATTGTCTTATCGTTGAATCATGACCTCTGACCTTAACTGAGGAAAGTGAGGCCTGCAGTTCTTTGTTTTAAGGGCCTTTCCAAAAAAATGTGGTTAATCGTAGTTAATTCATGATTTTTCACGTCTAAAATTAAAGAATTTAAAGCTGCATTTTGTATTTATTTAGATTATCTTTGTCTAAAATGAAAATGTGTTTGTAGACTAGAAGCATTTAAGTGTGTAAAAACCAAAAACAAAGCAGGAAGGGAAGTACTTTTCCACAGGACTGTAAATTGATGGTGCCCTTTTGAAATTAATAAATTCATATTTTAATATTTTTCACAATGTCTTATCTGCCTATGGTAAAAATTAAATGAGCATCAAGAGAGGAGATAACTGACATTCAATACTGACATGGTGGGTTTCGGGACAGAGGATGTCGTGTGTGTACAGACTGTAAAGCCCTCTGAGGCAAATTTGTAATTTGCGATTTTGGGCTATACAAAATAAAATAAAATGAATTGAATACCTTCTTTTAGGCCCAAAATCCACATTGTGTCCAAGGAATCAATGAGCGTCAGACCCAGACCGAACCATTCACCAAAGGACCTGGAGATAGGCCTGAGCTCATCGTGACCCCAGGCATAGTCTTTGTAGCCTTTCCACGCGTGCCTGAAGGCATCACAGACAGCCTCCAGTCTGTCCACAGTCCCAGTAGGAACTACAGGCAAAAGGAATGATTAAAGAATGAGGGGTGTTGCCTTAAAACTGTTTCCTCTACGACAATGTTGCTCTCAACAATGTGCAGTAAAGCAAAGGGGAAAATTGGAACCAAGAAAAGTTTCTCATATTCAGAAAGAATAGAATGAAGAATAGTTCTACAACGCTGTAGAACAATAAAGTATGCAAACAATCGGATAGTTTCAGTGTTTTACATCATCAGAAAGTGGAAATCTGGGTTTCGGACTGTTTTTTCTTTGTTGTTTTGATTAACAAAAAAACAAAACAACAAATGAATGGCTAACCGTTTGTTGACGACCATGTACCTTAACTTCTCACGTTCACTTCCTGTAAAAATCCATAGTAAAATGGCTTGAATATGAATTCAGTAAAGACCTTCCGGTGGGACGGTGTCAGCGGGGTTGGCCGGGCCTGGGGGAGGCGCAGCGTCTCCCACAATGGCCGAGGGGGGAGGCTCTGTGGCCTGGTCCGCTTCGATCATTGCTCCTCTCCAGCTGTGAGACACAAAAGAAAAACCCAACTTGTAACTGCGTCGATAAATTAATGCACTGCGATGGATGCCTGAGTGCGGCTGGAAAATGCTTGAATCCGTGATTCAAGCATTTCCGTGAGTAATATAATTTTAGTCAGAAATGTCATGATGGTAATCGACCCGTGTTGATGGTAAATGTGGTTGAATGAAGCAACGACCTCCTCAGCGTGTGCTGCATTGGACAAGAAAGCTGCACGATAGTGATGCACTTGGGAGGTGAGGAAGAACTAAGGCGATCTCAGCTTGGTATTCCAGTCGCTGCCTCTGGGTATCCGGGGGGGCTTTTTAGAAGCCGCTCAAAAACGATATTACATTGCAGTCTCGCTTCCTTTCCCAACACTGAAAACGGCGACCTAAAATATGAGTGCAGTGAACGATCTGGACGAGGCTACAGTTTGTGTATTATGGCCGGATGTTCAATCATATTTATTCAAGCCAGCGTATGCTGGCAATGGAAATGCAGTGGACAGCATTAGTTGTGACAAACATATTACCTGACAATCTTCTTGTCTTTGTCCTCCTCCTCTCCTGCTACTTCTTCTTGAACCACCTCTTGCACTTGCTTCTCTGCACGGACTGTGTCTGAAGTATTTCCGTCTTTCTGAAGGCTCGGGGGACCTCTCTTGTTTGGGGAATTCTTCTTCTATGGATAACAGTTGCACATTTCACATAAGGGGCTGTTCTAGACCAGCAGTGACCCAATAAGCACAGGAACAGAGATCCCTAATAAAAGGGTTTGTCTCTAGTGTCTGTTCACGACTTCTCCCATTAAAATAAATTACTTTAGAGCCTTATGAGTCCACTGTACATCTCATCTAAAAAATGTACCTTTAGTTATGCAAGGTAAATAAATGATGACTGCTGTGCAATTAATAAATAGAAACACAGCCCTCACCTTTATGGGAGGTTTAGGCAAAATGGGGACGTTTGGTCCTTTGGGCTCCACCACAGCACCTGCAGCCGCATCTGGTTCCACAGCTGGCCGGACATGTGGCCCTGCTGCAGGAGGCGGGGCTTTACCTGCAGCATCATCCAATATAGACTTGACACCTCGCGGAAGATCCGTCACGTCTCTGTCATTCAGCTCCAGCAAGTCCTCCCTGTCAGACCATCCTGAACACAAAATGAATAAGACAAAAGTCTGAGACCAAGTCCACACTGTGCCAGCTAACGAAATGCTCATTAGCAAACAGCTATCAGAATATTAGTGCATGCTAAGACGACTGTTTACAAAGATGGAAAGTTGGAAATGCTTGCATCCAAAACACAAAGCACTAGCGTTTTCATATTCAAGCAATTCACCAAAATAGATTATTATCATCCCCAAACACACACACAGGCCATCCAACTAATCAGCTTGTGTATACGAGAGTTCAGCGTTGTGCTGGCCGGAGCCGCTTACCTCTCCACTGCTGTGTGACGCTGGGATAAGTGAGAAGTCCAAATATGAGCAGCAGAGCCAGCAGGAACAGGACCAGGCTCCGCTGGAGACGAGACAGCTGCTTCCATTTCTGTAGGCAGATAAAAAAGAAACGCATGAAGCAAACTACACTGACACGCGTCTCGCAGCTCTTTATTTCAACTCATAAGTGTCCGTCAGCAGATTAAAAAAAATCCTCCCCATCTTAAAATATCTAATAAATCAGTTTACGGCCCCATGCAAATAGCAGAGTGAAAAAGGGGAAAAGGCCAATGGCCTTTGTGGGGGAGTTTACCCTGAGTGAACTCAGCATATCTCTCCACCTGATGAGCTCAGTGTCAGCTCATAAATAACTGATCCAAGTAAGCAGCCATACCTGGCAGTGCAGAGGGAGGGACTCATTGTCTCTCAGGGGAGAAGACACACACACGGGACGGACGCCACTCGCTTATCTGCTCTAATCAACACCTGTGCAATACCTTGAAACTATTGAGCCATTGTCAAACAACCCACGGCAGTCTCTCTTTCAATCTCTGAAGGGAGGTTTTATTTTTACTTTGCTCATGGAACCCTCTTCATAAGACCAACAACGTATTCTGTTCAAGCCAATACTGCGGTTTACCACATTTTTAGCATGTTATAGCACACAAACACACCTGTAGATCGGTCTTTCCCATCCATGCCAAAATGGATGTGTGAAGAGCAAAGCACGCATCAGGTACACATAATAACTCCTTTCAGGTAATACTGCACAGTAACAAAAACACTTATTCTTTTTCTCCATCTGCAGGTGGTCTTTTCAAAGAGTCACAGACACTGCTATAGACGACAAGGAGAACAAAAGCCCTCTAAATCTAGACGGAAACCAATGCCATGTGTAAAAGGGTTTACAAACAGAGACAAGCCACTCAGCGGAACATGATTTGCGGGGAATGGCTTTATGAGGAGCCATAAAATGTAATCAAATGTGAAGACCAACAGGTGGAGGGGAAGGCTACCGGGCAGATCAACGACCGGTCGGTTGATGTACTGCTGGAACAAAACGCTGCGGATCGGTCGATGAGAGCCCTGGGTTGCCTTTGAATCCAGAGAACTAAAGGGGATGCATTGCCTTCATGGGAGCTGGATGAGCCAATGTGCTTCTACTGAAAAAAGGAACAAAAAGAACTATTCATATGGAAACGATGGATAAAAGAAGCCCTTTTTGTTTGTGATTAGGGGGTGCAGATGCAGAGGGGGAGAAAGAAGAGTGTGAATAAATGTGACATCCCACCATTGAGGTTTCGTCCTGCTTTTTTTTGAGAAAGCATATTTGTTGGGGGGTGGGGGGGGGGGTATTCATAACACTGACAAGTGTACAGAGAAAAGCACTCTCTCATTGCTCCCATCAAAGTCCATTTAGCTGAACAAACAGTAACCATGGACTTTATAATGTGTCATTGCTAAGCGCCCATCGTGATCCCCTAATCCTTCAAAACTTGAAACTAGATATTCTGGTAACATGCATGTTTACAATGTTGACGGAAGTAGTAATAAGTCAATTGAAAAGTAGTGTCATTCCTTAATATAGTTCCATACAAGGACTTTTTATTAAAGCCAGCAGGACACAAGTGGAGATTACACCTGCAGGCAAAAACAACAGTCTTTTTCAAAACAGGAGGCTATGTCCATATCTTTTACCAGTTTTTCCACAAGGAAAGAAAAAAACGGAATAAAGCAGCAAACCCTGAGGAAGGAGCAGCAAAGTATGACTGTAAAAAAATCAAACCAACAAAAAGGAGACAGAAGAGACTCACAGTGGGAGGGTCTAAAAGCAGAGAAGGCAAGATTGGAGAGCATGTGCAAGGAGAGAGGAGCGAGCCAGAGATGAGCAGGGTGTAATATCGCTGTAGTGATCATGTGCTCCAGGCATGCTTCTATCTGAGGAGTTTGAAGTTGTGGCTGCTCGATAACAAAAAGGAGTGAACAAGACTGAAACATAGAAATTAATTCATCTCAACGATCCATTTCATGAAGACGCAGATGCTCTATCGGGGAGGAAGTGACCAGAAGAATACCACCCAAGAGAATAAGCAATGCGTAGACTAGGACATAATACAGTTTTGAGATTTTTTCATACAGTTTCTTATAATATCTCCAGCTTAATAATATCCGACCATTGTGGATATTACTGCAAATCAATCGATGTTCAGGATTGATGATGATTTAAATCAATATAAAGTTTCATGATGTCTGAGGTAATTGTTGCCCTAGATTTGTGAAAGCTAGGAGTTTCAAAGTAAACCTGTTAATCTATGAGATCTGTGTTTCCCCCATTGAAACAACACCTGGAAAAAGTGTGAAAAAAAAAAAGGTTTTTAGGTACTTTCCCACGCACAACAGTTCCACAATGACATATGTACGAATATTTGCAACAGCGGACTGACGACCCCCCCCGGCGCTCAGCCAAACTGTTTGCTCGACTACTACCCCACCCTGAACAGTCGGAAGAGGATCACCACCTCTGCCCGAAAAAAACGCGGTTTAGAATACATTCTGGCAAAATGTGGTGAGATTGTCAGCACTTCTAACACAGCCGTTCACTGGAGAGTTGAGAGCAAAGTGCCCGAGGACAGCAGGACGAGTCGCTAGTTCAACATGTTCCACCCGGTGGAATTCTGCCATACATGATCAAATGTGTGGAGTTGTGGTTAAAAAATGCAATTAAACAAAAGTGTCTAAAATACACGCTGAATATTCAGATGACATAAAACCACAAAGTCCTAAAGGAAGGATTCCCACTACGAACAACTGTGCTCATCAATTAATACGGTGATAAACTCAGTAACTCTGTATTACAGACATTTAAAAAAAAGGTATCCACTTAATTCGCTATTTTGATAATGGTGGTGGATAATTTCAATTAACAAAGCTCCAAAATCACCCATTGGTGGAAAGTTTGGCTTAAGAATTCACCTCATTATCATACTCATTAAACCATTCGGTGAAGTTTTCACACATTTATTCAGTTTTTTTTTCCACCTCTGTCCATGAAGCATCATGGTATCAAACGACATGTACCGCAGTATATTCGGTTATCCTTGCCTTCCGCCACTGACCTCAACCAGAACGCTTTGGTATTGCTGTTTCACGCGAGTTGAACATGAGATCATTATCTTGCATCAGACACGGGGTTTCTGTGTCAAAATGGTCACAGTCTCTCTCGATCAAGAGCCGTGATGTGCACGCCGCACCACTCACCCTCCAGCAGGACTGTCGGCGGTGCTTGCCGTTGTTGTAAGAGGGACCGTGGGGATCACTGAGCGTCAGGGAGATGAAGTCTTTTCTGGAAGGCGGATACATCCTCTGATCCGGACAGACAGCGTTGGCTCATAGAAGCTGCATTCAGAGTAAAGTGACAACACAGTTAGCCTAACCAGGAATACTATCTTAAATAATTAAATGTAAAACAAACTGTAAGCACGGCCCATATTTGCGTTGTGGAAAAAAAAGGATTGGTTAAATAATCAATCTACACAAAAATCTGATGACTATTTGACTATTTGCATGATTATACCACACTCATTAAATAGTTCAAACTTCTCAAATGTCAGCATTTGTCCCCTTTGTCTGCAAATGTAATACTTTTTTTTTAATCATAGAAAATGGAAAATCCAATTAGATGATGCCCACCACAAGGATAACACAGAGCGATGTATTTGCATCCTTCGACTAAGCAATTACAGAGAAGCAACGTGCAGTATCAAAGCATCACAAAGATGACGGCTGCAAGTGGCCTACAGCTCTAATGGTGCATCATCTTCATGAAGATAATTCCAACAATGTAACTGATCGTGATTCATGGTATTTATGCTTTGACAATTCTGCAGTTTCGACCTATATAATACGTCTGTCGGTTTCTTACGGCTTGTAGTTTTACTATAATTATCAGCATCAACCTCCTCAGCGCATTGGCCATCTTCCGTAAGCAAGAAGACTTCCGTAAGTCGTCATTTCTAATGCAGGTTAGGGGTTAACAGGTTTGACACAACGATGACGCCCTGTTTGTGTGTGTATGTGTGTTTACGTGGTATTTGCACCAACAACTGAGATAACAGCTTTAAAGCAATGTTGTTTGAAGAAGAACGGGCTTTACACCCGACAATATAATTATTTCAACCAGGTTGTAAGAAGGCAAAACAGTTGAAACTAGGTACCATTATAACACAAACGAGTTCTTTCAGCCAAGCAGGCTAATGCATTGCCGCTACCGTATCAGTTACCGTGTTACCTTAGTGAGCTACCGGCTTCCACGGCACCGTTTCTACACACGTTACATTAAATACTAGTCACACACTTCGCGGTCTGCCGCTCACCTTGCTGCCCGGTCGGGTTTCTTCACAGCGACGGTATTCTCTGCAGGGCAGTTGGCTAGCTACGAGAAGCTAACGTTAGCTTGTGTTTCTGAACGGAACGTGAAACTGTTCGGTAGCGTAAAGAAGCGACATGCACCACAATAGTCCGTCCCACTGTCACGCGAGACGACCGGCTGCTAGATGACATGTCAGACAAATGAAACCGGGCGGAAACATGGCTAAAGTTAGCGAGTGAGGACAGACAAATGCGGAAGAGAGTTGACAAGTGATGACGCTGTGCGTCATGTGACGCGTGCACGTGCTGGGACGTGCGTTAACCCCAATTCAGCACCGCGTTCTCAGCGTTTTGTTTTTTTTCAAGCTGGTTTTCATTTTAAAAAGGCTCCTTTAAAAAGCCTTAAGCGGTGAGCCCACTAATAAATCTACATGTAATTAATACATAATTAATAATAATAATTAATACATAATAAAACTATATTTTCGCACCGTTGCCATATGGACAAAACTCACGGGTTTGCATGTGGAGGAACTTAAATAGGCTGCTACAGTGTCACTTAATCGGTACGAATCTACTGAGAGGGTCACATTTGAACTTCTTCTGACACTTTTCCTAAGAATTACTTAGAAAAAGAAAAGAAGCAATCATCATGTAAATAAATATATGAAACTACAAAATGAACTAATTGTCTATCCGTAATCAATAACATTATTTATAACTCATTATGGAAGAAGGCATTTTTCCAACCTCTGATTAACATAGATTATACTCTTACTGTTCCCAGACTTTAATCCATTACCAACAGCAGGTCCATACATCCACTTATCCTCTGGCTCTATAATGAGGTTACTTTTTAAAATTATATTTCCGCTACTATTGGATTGATTGTTACTGTGAAATTTTAAATTCGACATTCCACCTGTTTCTGATGGACCACCACAAACTGTCTTAAGTGTCCCCTCTGCTGTGGTGACCTAGTTCTTAAGAAAATAGATTAAAATGTCAAGGAGTGTTTACCCAAAGCCTTGCAAATGTGTTTTGTTAAGAAATACCAAGGGAATGTTTTTTATTTGATAAAAGAAAATGTTGTCCAATGTACTTTCCATCTATCATTCTCTTTTCTCATTATATCCGAATTAGGTTTGGAGGGGATTGTGTAGCCTCTAATTTTGTAACAAGCAGAATGCAGCTCCAATTAACACTGTATTTACAGTCCCATAATAATAAAAAGATATGTTATGATTATGGGGTGCAGATGCAGATGTACATATGGAGATGTCCACCATTATCAGGTCAGAACTTTATTCCAAAACTTTGATTCATGAACACACCATTGCTAAACTTTGATGAATACACAGAGTCAATATTTGGCTATGTATTTGTTTTTAATTCAGCTGACAGTTCTTTGAATGAGCTGATGGGGCGAATCACACAAGATGGATGTCCAGCATGTCATTTCAGACGTGATACTTCGTACAAAACAAGTAAAGTAAAAATGATCAGTCTCAGCCAGCCAAGGCTATCATATGGAATGATGACAAATCTAAACATAAAAGGAAAACATGTAGTATCAAACACCAGGCCAGAATTTCTAATCCAGTCCAATTAGTCTAATTGAGATTAAGAATAAGTACATTTCTTCCCTGTTACATAACGGAATTTTCAGTCAAGCCCGATGACCACAAGCTCCCTGAGATCCCCCTCAAATGACTCCCGCACTCCCTGCACGGAGGGCACACCTTATTACTCACTGCTCACCAACTCTGGGACACACAGCGAATCGTGGTTCTGTTGAGAGGCTACAAGGCTTGCTGCTTCTATCTGGACAAAAGCTCTGCTCAGATCAAATTAATCACCTGAATGAAATTCAGCAATTACTCAATGCTAAGTGGGTTGCAATTTCTTTCCCACCATGGGGCCGACAAAGCTCTGCAGGGCCGGGGGGGGGGCTCCTATTACTCCACAGCCAAACGTATGCACGATTATTTTCAATACAGTGAGAGTAAATAGAGTATTGTTCTGGGACGACATAAGTAGATCTGCACCCTCCGGTTATTTAGTCTTGAGTTTTGGTTTGGTTTGCATGAGAAGAACACAGTTCTATTAAAACAGTAAGTAGTCTAATGTAAACCTGCTAAATACATGCGTAGCAGAATTAAGTAATTCAAATGTGGTGAACTTTGTACAGTCAGGAATAAATCCATAAACCAGCAGCAATGTTTATGTCAGAGAACCGCAGAGAAAAGGAGAAAATACTAGTCTGATAATCAAACTAAATTCTCCATTTGTTGCACCTAATATTTCAGTCAGAGATTGTGTTCATGACTACATTTGAATTCGATGTGTTTAATTATTCTCTTTGTTGGATTATCAGGTGTGGGCTGCACGGTGGTCTGGTGGTCAGCGCCGTGGTTTCCCTGCAAGAAAGTCCCGGCTCGACGGGTACTCCGGCTTCCTCCCACAGTCCAAAGACGAGCTCTGGGCTAAAATTGCCCGTAGGTGTGTAAATGTGATTGTTGGTTTGTCTCTGTGTAGCTCTGCAACTGGCTGGCGACCAGTCCAGGATGAACGCCGTGTCTCTCGCCTGAAGTTGGCTGTGATTGACTGCGGCCCCCCGGCGACCCTGCAGGACGGATAAGTGGTTTGAAGATGGATGATTGATTGATTATCGGGTGTGGTCTTTTATCGGATCAGTTGTGATTGGTTGTGACTGTGGCTACTTTATAAATATGTTGCTCATTGTGATGCTTTTTAAATCGACTTTAACAGATTTCTTTTTTTTGTTTTAATACTAAACTACAAAACATATTGTGGCAACAACAGCTTTAGCAGCTATGTGTACATTATTTAATGTATCATACCTGAGACGTCAAAAAGTACCCCTTACAATTACATTTAACTGGAAAAACCATAAACTAGGTTTTATTAAAATGACGAAATTTGCTGTTGAAAACACTAAGTATGCATGCGTGACTCTCTTTTCATACTGTTTGGGGAGACCAGAGAAGCTGTGTCCTCATGCAGAACACGTTGTTAAGAGGTCAGGTCGGACAGTCTGGCTTTTATACGTGCGGGGGGCCGACTGAAGCCCAAAATAGATAACTCACATAATTCAAACGGAGTGAAAAAAAACATTGTATATAAAGTAGAAAAAACCCATACATTTTTAAATTATGCAATACAAGATAAACGTGTCTGTAAACAAAATTGACTTCTCCGTGAAAAAAAGCCAGGGGTCGCTTGTGTCCTCTCAGATTCTTGAATATCGGAGTCACTCAACTTGAGGGATTGATCCCCTCAAAAACAGAGGAGAGGTAAGTGACGTCTTCAGAAATTGGAAGCGATGTTCCAGTCCTCTAGGTGTCCATGGTTTGAACAGAGGCTTGTGTCCCACGGCTGTTCGGCACCTCTAGCTGAAACACACAGGTCCAACAGTGAAGCCGAAGTGGTGTGTGAAGTTGCCTCCACCCATCAGCGCTACGTCTCTCAGAGGAAGCAGATGGAGGTCCTCAAACTCAAAGACAGACTCCCGAGGTCCAGAAAGGGTCTCTTCTCCAGGCTGACAAACGGGAAACAGAACAAAAAATGATTTCTCATCTAACAGCAAGGAATCCAGGAATCACTGATGTCGATGATGTTTTTTCGATGTGACGTTGAGCTTTTCTAACCAACATTAAGAGTATCAACAGAAAACACACGCTAAGATTAATAATATAACGATGAAAATGGGCTGATTTTGCGTACCACGCAGTCTTTAAGCGCTCCGAGGTAACTTTGCTTCCTTGTGTCAGTGAGGAATTTGATGTCGCTGTCTGTCTGTCCCAGTCTGTGTCCTGGGTGGCAGGAGAAGGTCACATTCTGCACGGCAGTGCTGCTGTGCAGCCTCAGAAAACGCATCTGGACCACATTAGCACCTGGATAGTAAAACTGTTAAAAAAGGAATAAGAATGTCATTAACAATATTAAAAAGGTAAGAACAAAGTAAGCTAATGGAAAATAGACAAAATGTTCTTTTTATCAACTCCATAACCATATGACCAAAAACAATACAAGAAAAATGTGTGCAGAAAATCTACTATTGTGGAGTAGTCCTGGCATGTTTTTCATTCCCTTCACCTGAAACCCTTGCTCCAGCCTGCTGAGCCACTGGAAGGACGCCTCGTCAGAAAGTTCTTCCATCCAGGCTTTGGTGGGCAACTGCAGAAAATAGGGCATGTATTTGGAAATCTGAATTCAAGTCCCGCTTTCAAATGAAAGACTTGGCGAGGTCAACAATATTCAGACATCTGCTGATGAGTTCTGGATTAGCATGCAGCTCAAGTATGAACCTGAGGTATATCGGCTCAGTGAGTTATGCATTCACTTCACATCAGAGACCAATTCATATTCTTCTTTGCTCGAGCGAGTCCGTTTTTATATGGAGCTGTCTATATTAGACTTGAGAGGGTGTGAGGTGAGTTTTGTTTTTTAAGATGAATGGCGGTTTTAGGGATTGTCCTCGTTCAGCTACAGCTCTTAAGAGTGTGGGACCAGCGTGTGTGTGTGTGTGTGTGTGTGTGCGTGAAGCAGGATGTGACTAACGCAGTCAGTGAAACCAATATTATGTCATTGATAACCGATGAAATTACCGAAATAAGATTTTGGATTTTCCTTCAATGTGACTGAGTCAAAAGCTTAAGGTCAAGTCATCCCTGCAGATGTCTCGGTCGTCACTGTGAAAGGGTGAGCTGATAAGACAATCATCAAATTGATTTTCAGGCTGTACAACAAGGGGAATAGAGTTAGCCCTAACGCTATTGATCTCAAGGTGCAATTTCCGGTAGCCTTTTCTCAGGTGATGCTTTCATACCTGAGAGTCTCGAGGATGAAGGCAGGTGTGTTTTGATGTGGAGGAGAAGCTGCAGTAGGCCAGCAGAGCGTCCCCTGTGCTGCCCTGGTTGGGGTCGATGTAATACATTCCTGGGGGAAAAGGTTAGCAAGAGTTCGATGAGATCAGGCAGGATGAAACTGCTGAGGTCCATGCTGACAATAAAGAGAAGACTAAATGGAAATGGCAGTATAAAATGTTTTTGTAGAACTCGCGCTTTAACTAGTGCCTGCAGAGGAAACTGATGAGCACAGATCATTTGGATAATTTATAACATGTAATGTTCTTGAGTTAAATTACATTGAGATGCTGTATGTTTAGAAGTATTACCACTTGAAATAGACAGTAAAACATGTATTTCTATATATTGATATATTGTTTATGTTCAGGAATTATGATCATATTTTGTTATTTTGTGGCCAATAACACATTTTTTAAAACCAAATTTTGATGTTCAGAAAGCTGAGAATGTATCTCACTTTTACAGTTTCTGAAAAGCTCATATGGAGGATGATGCATTCATCTAAACAGAGAGGACAGTGTTATGAACTCAAGGCAGTACAGCGATTCCCCAAATAATTCCCTGTTAGTGGGACTGACCGCTGCTGTATTCGGGGTGACAGATCCAGAGCTCCATGCATGTGGTGGCAGGATGCTCCTTGCTGCCATCGGGAGGATCCAGCATGAGCCGCAGCTCCTGCTGCAGAGAATCTAGCAGAGTCTGGATCAGAGAATAGTTGGGCTTATCGGACACATACATCAGGTCCTGGACATGGGAAAAAAACAGAAGAAAGAAGAAGTCAATCGGATTGCATTGCGGTCAACGCACATTCCAAATGCTCTTGTGGTAAATGTTTTGGCAGAAGTTTAATATGTAATAAATGTCGTGCCTTGAGCTGAGTCAACGTCATGTTCAATGACTCTCCCGGAGGTCCAGGGACCCCAGGTGGGCCCTGAAATACAAGGAAGACGCACATATTGGGTACACGCTACAAATACAATATTGGAATCAACACACTGTATGTTGACAAATATAAAACTGCAACTGATTGATGAGAGGGAACTAAAAGACGTAAGAAATCTGAAGATATCGCGAATCAAACGCTGTGTTCAACAGCATGTGTAAAATCCCCAAATACATGGTTGAACTTATGTCGAATAAAACCAAGGCATACGTTATAAACTAAGCCAGCAGTGAGGCACACAAGAAGTATGCAATCACAAACACTCATATCGGATTGAACACATTTCACTGTAAACCAAACGTTGGTTTCTTCCTTTGTTAACTTACTGGGAGCCCCCTCCTGCCACGCACACCAGGGAAACCCTGGTAGCCTTTCAAACCCTGCGGGCAGAAGGAAATATGATGAGCACATAATATGTGCAGGAAAACGACACCATTACATGAGAACACGTTGACCTGGAAATAAAGAATCCCATTACATTCAAACGCTTACTCTGAAGTGGGAAAGCTTTATGATTACGTGTGGCATCAAAAATAAAGGTCAACGCTTCAGACACTGGTAAATAAGAGCCTCAGTGAGTTTGATGTGCCTAAAGGAGAGAGTTGAGTTGATAATATCGTACCTTGAACCCAAACATGCCCTGCAACAGAGGAGAAGACAGGGGAAGAAACGGGCATCAGCATTTTATTTCTCACCCCGTGAAGTGCATTTATTGACAAATAGCTTTGTGCCAGTATTTTTTAATCTGCTGCGTTAAGAACTCATCAGATTTCATAACATCGATATTGTGAGATGCATGTACTGGTAAAATATATTATAACATTGTTTTGTGCTAAGGCCGTGTCTCAAGTGTCCTGTAGTTGACCCTGATGTGCAAAGAGCAGCATGATACAAAATGTTGCTTTGCAGCTGCGCCCTGAGAAGGGAGAGCGGTTAACTCGATCTCATAGAAGCTTCAAAACAAAGGACTTCTGTTCATGGCCTTGGTTCATATCTTATTCGGAACTTTCGTTCCGGATCCACGTTTTTACTTTATGTCAATTAATAATGATTTGCACCGGCCACTGAGGAGGATCTTGTGTGTGTGTGTGCTACCCTCAGCTTCACCTGGGTTCTTATCTCAACCTGCTTTGTAGCTTCTCGTAACTGGCACAGAGAATGTTCTTCACATGTGTATAAAAACTCAGCGTTTTCACTGCTCGGGGACGTCATTACGCCGAGCGCTGAGATATGTGCTGGTGTGTTTGACCTCCTGCCTATAGGCAATAGTTAGAGCCAGATATCTGCGGAGAATTGCTCATGTAATCTTTTTCTCTTCTAAATAAATGTTAACTTTTTGACTTTAATTGATCAACGTGCTGCAATTCTTCTCATCAACCAACTCGGGGGGATCGGAGATCCTGACAATATCAAAGAACTTACAGGCAGTCCTGGCGTCCCTTGTGTTCCCCTCGGTCCCGGGGGACCAATATTTCCCTACAGGAGAGAGAGAAACAAACCCATTTATCAGAGTGGAACATCAATACAACATGTTGAAAGGTAGCAAAACCTTCCCCATCAAAACAAAACATCAGAGGGAGAAACCAAATACAATATTAGTTTTGAGTACCTTCTCTCCCATCGGGCCCAGTAGACCAGGCAACCCAACAAGACCACGGATACCCTGGAAAAGACGAGGAAAAAAATGACCGGTTGCTATGACAGTCGATTTCCTCAAATTAAAAAGAGTGAGTGTAGATTGTGTAGAAGTGGGGACTTTTACATGAAGAAAGACATGCGAACACTAGTCACCCTGTTGAAACCACAGCCTGCTAAATCTATCAGGAATTTCTTGGATCATAAATAGCGAGCATCACCAACTTCTACCTAACACATGAAGTTAGTTTGATGTAAAACAGCGGCCATCCCAGACCCCTCATTCCCTGCTTTCACGTGTCTGCACTGTAATCATTGGTACAGTAATGATACAAACTTCTGTATGTTTGATGCAAACATAGTTAGTTGTCTATGTCCATATTAGCAGATTAACTGTCTCCTACCTTCATGCCATCAGCTCCAGGGGGCCCCAGCAGACCCACGTCTCCTTTCTCACCCTGAGGACAGAAACACTACAGTCAAGTCTCTTGAATCCGACAGCTCATCAGCACATCCTGGTGAGAGAGAGAGTTCTACTAGAGCCGGAACTCGGCCCAGCAGGTGACAGCATTTCATGAGCATGGACCAGATACGGTATCTTTCAATTTTGGCTTATTAATCTGTCTGTTTTGGCAAAAGGCTTTCCTCACACGTCTTTATGATGATCCACGTGTATCAGCTGTGTGCCATCTCATGAAAGATAATTCACCAAATACTCTATGGTTAGATGCAGGTCTTTTTATATGATGATTCTCACAATGAACTAATATGGTTCTTTTACCTCTTTCCCCTTTGTGCCTTGATCGCCCGCCTCTCCACGCAAGCCCGGGATTCCCTGCGTGACAAAATAATAGCAAGTGGATGTTAATTCACAGAATTCCAAAATCAAATGCACTTTAATGAAATTCATTGCTTTATTGATCTCTTCACGCCGAGCAGGAGAGACGGCCGAACGAAGCAAATGTGCTGATATGTTCATCTGTGACATAAACCCAGACATCAGGTGACGAATGAACTTACGATGAGCCCTGGCCATCCAGAGACGCCATCCAGTCCAGCTCCCCCCTTCTGGCCCTGAGCGATGAAACACAATCTGCTGTTGACTCATCCGTCATCATTTAAACACATGTATGGAAAACCTGTGGCTTTGTTTCTGCGTATCCCACCTTAGGTCCTCTGTCTCCCCGGATCCCTCTGATTCCAGCCTTCCCCCGTTTCCCCTGTGGACAAGTTTGTAATGTTTTTCAATGGGGCAACAGGAAGCAAGAGGGGACACTAAGCCCTTCATGTTTTATGTATGATTCTGTACAAGCTGCATCTGTCAGAGTGGCTGCTTCTGGCCATTTCCATATTATCTGTTGGTTGGGTCCTGTTATAAACTCCACACAAAGACTGAAAACGTTAAAAAAAAGAATAGCACGAGCATAGTAGTACAGATGCTAAATTAACTAAATATTAACCTTCTTTGATTCATCACAACAGGAAATATATGTTCTTTACTTTAATATATGTTATAATAACTGCAATTCACCAGCAAAATGTTACCTAGACTATAACAACTCTTACCCTCCTTCCAACATGACCCGTCTTCCCTGGTGATCCATCCGGGCCATCATCTCCCTGCAGTGGTCAAACACACAGTGAATGCTGAAGGAGCAAATTAGTTTCTGTTTGCACAACTTACTAATGTAAGAGAAGATCTGCAGTGTTGTCTTTACACTGCAAGTGTCACTGCCAGTACTGGTTAGTACAGTTTAAAGTCATAGTTAGATAGTTTGGAAAAGCTTCATATTGCATATTGGGGGAGCAGCATTGGAGCCGGTGACACCAACAGACTTAACAAACTTGTTAAGAAGGCCGGCTCCATCATTGGCTGCAAACAGGGCAGCTTGGAAAAGGTGGTGGAAGGGAGGTCACTGAAGAAACTGTTATCCATCCTGGATAATCCTGACCACCCCCTCCACCACCTGCTACAGGGACAGCGGAGCACGTTCTCCAACAGACTCCTTCAGCTCCGCTGTCACAAGGACCGATACAGGAGATCATTCCTGCCCAGTGCAATAACACTTTACAATAAATCATCCCTGGCTAAATAATGACAATAATAACCCTGTACTGCTGTGATGTTGCTGCTCTTCCTCTTCCTCTTCCCCTTTTACAAATTATTTGTATTTGGACCTTATTTGGAAGGTTATTTTTTTGTTTCAGTTTTAGTTTATTTAATTTAATAATTTAATATTTCTATCTTATTATATTGTATATAATGTGTAATAAAGTATCTATCTATCTATCTATCTATCTATCTATCTATCTATCTATCTATCTATATTGAACAGACAGTTCTAACTCTATCAGCCAAAATGTTCCATTCCTTTAACTTGCTATCCTTCAATAATTCCCTAAATTGAAGTATATTACGTCATCTTGGAATTAAGCAGAATAACCATCCAAATGGGTGAAAATATGTGAAAATTAGGTTTCAATGTTTTCTAAAACTCCAATGTTTAAAAGATGCCAAAATACATCTTATGATGTATCAAGACCCCAAATGACACAGAAACAAAGAGGCTCTTACCTTTTCCCCCGGTGGGCCTTTTTTCCCCTCTGGGCCGGCTCTTCCTTGCACTCCCTGCAAAGCAATATAGTGGATTTGGTCCTATATATTTTTTTTTTCAACAATGAATGATCACCAAACAAGTGGTTTAATTTTAGACGAGCTGCTGACGACAATACGATTTCATCATCCAAAGTGTTTCTGTGTTCATTGGCACACTTACAGGAGCCCCCGGGGTACCTGGAGGACCTTGGGGTCCCATCTCTCCAGGAGGCCCCTGGAAAAAGAGAAGGAAGAGGTATAAACAGCACAGTAAGATTGGTTAAGGGGGAAAGAGAAATATTGGTATCAGAAAAAGTCTTACAGCTAATATGAAATGTGCAGTTTTTACCTCAATCCCTGGCAGAGCCGGAGGACCTTGGATTCCTGACGGACCATGCTCGCCCTGCACAGGTAATTCATATTTTTTTGATGGATATTGGCACAAGGAAAAGCAAAAAATTTTTGTATTAGAATATACTTCTCTCAAAAAGATGTATCACCTTGCAGAAAGGACCATGGGTTTTATAAATACCATCATACAGTAGACACATATAACATGAAAAACTTTACCAACCTGTTCCCCTAGTGGACCTGGAGCTCCTTGCTCTCCCTTGAGCCCATGCGGCCCCTCTTCCCCTTTAGGTCCCCGGTCTCCCTGAGGTCCAACATGTCCTACTGGTCCCTGCCGTGCAGACATCAGAAGAACAGGAACGATGTAGTCTGAAGTCAGACTAAGCTCAATGTCGGTTACTCAATGCCATTAAAAGTTCTAAATTTAGAAGGAGAGATCTACGTTGTCTGGAATGCCGATGCAGGATAACTGCACCCCGAGAGGAAAATGCAGATTGTGAGGTGAGGGTTTTTATTTTAAAGGCACCATGTACAGTTCAAACATAAATGTCACAATCATGTCATAATATTTGTGATCAATGAGGACACATTACTGTGTAGATGCTTGTAAAAGTAACGGGATGCTTGTTCATAACTGACATATCAAAGCAAACCAAATAAAGATAACAACTTTGTAAAGCTTGAGGATACTCACAGGTGGCCCCATCGCCCCTGAGTCTCCTTTGACTCCACGGACACCAGTCATTCCCTAAGCACAGGACCAACACAGAGCAAATGGATGCTTTTCCCCTAGAGCTGAACTGTACGTCATGTTGTGCCACAAGGGACATGGAATCAGAGATTACCCGAGGGCCTCTTGACCCCGAAGGTCCAGAAAGTCCTACAGGCCCGGACATCCCCTGCAGAGGCAGAAGGAAACGGTTTTCAAGCCCTTTTAAAAATATTATCGGGTTGGATTCCAGCAGAGCACCACTGGTGATGTAGTATATATTTTAAGAAAAGGGGTCATCAAAACAATCAACCCTCGCTCTTTTTGACCTGATGAACACTGCGAGTGTATGACAGCTTGTTACCTTCTGCCCTTGAGGTCCATCTGAGCCGGGGGGACCGCGGGAGCCTGCGATTCCCTAAAACGAGCACAAATACACCACAATGGAATATTGACACTAACACAATGTTGTGGTTAATGTGTGTGGGCAGGAAGAGCTTATCGGTGAGATGAATCAATAAATGTCAGTGCTACATGCGAACAGTTAGCGGTTCATTAAGGCCGCTCGGAGCAGCAGCTCATGCATCCGGGTTACAAACTCACCCGTAACCCCGCCAGACCGGCGGGTCCCACGTCCCCCATCAGCCCCGGCTCACCCTATTTCAAGAGGATGACGTCAGCAACACTTTCTACTTGTCAGTCTGACTGATCACTTATTTCTGCTGGTGCAGCTGATCACTCTGTTTACCCGTCGCTGGTTTTGTTATTTTCTTGTTGACCAATATGGAAAATGACTGGATTAAATGTAACCAAAGCCACGACAGCTTATGAAGAAGGTTGAGCTTGTGGGTTTTATGTATCATGCTGCACAAAATGTTTTACTTCTCTCTACTCATCATGGCTTCGCTGTTTACATGGAGATGCATATATATAAATAAATAAAACTCTTGCCTTTCAGTAGGTTAAAATGTATTATTTTCCAAAACTGTGCTCACCATTAGTCCAATGTGGCCCTTGTCCCCCTTTAGGCCCCTCTGGCCATTTTCTCCAAGGTCTCCCCAAGGGCCTTCTCGACCAGACAAACCTGGAGGTCCCAACTCGCCCTGCGGACAACAATCACCTCCTGATCAGACACTGAAGACATCGTTTAGAGGGAAACCAACACCAAATAGAAAAAACTTTCACTTTCACCACTTGTAGCAAACTCGAGGAAAGTAGTAAATGTACCGTGTCCCCTTTGGGTCCAGGATCTCCAACTTCCCCAGGATGCCCAACATCCCCCTGCAGAGAAGTGAGGAGCATGAGCCTTACTGCACACGCTATTTACAGGAACACATTCACTTTTTTTTAGGAGACTGACAAATTAGCCACTTCTTCAGTCATAAAGACAGGAAATAACATGGATCCCCACGACACCTCCTCCCACATGTGAGGACACCATTTCAGGTGAAGATCATTTTTGTACAAACTGCAGATGAATGCACCTACCTCTTTGCCCTCTGGTCCTGGAGGCCCCTGTGACCCTTTTGAGCCCTCGAGTCCTCTCTCTCCTGGGAGGCCTGGAGGGCCGAGTTTCCCACAAGACCCGGAGTCCCCCTAAGAAATACACAAGAAGACTTGAAATCAGAAACAGTTACTGAATTCAGGCTTCCACGTAGTCCACGACACAAAAAGTCAAACCAACCTCAAGCTCTTATACAAACCAAGCAGACTCATTTCGGTCTCACTCAGGACATGTTTTTGCACTAATTGTAAGTCGCTTTGGATGAAAGCGTCAGCTAAATGACATGTAATGTAATAATGTTTTAAAGTATGTAAAAAAAATACTCTACTGATTATTATTTTGTTCCCCTGCATAATAAGTATTAATAAGTATTTTTTGGTAGTTAGTGGAGGAAGGCTCCAGGGTCTGGTTTACATCCACAAACTGCACACTCTACCTGGGAACCTGTGTATGAACAATCAACATTGTAAAGACCCCGATAAAATGCTGCTGTGCTCACTGACCTGGTCTCCTTTCCGCCCAGGTGGGCCCTCGATTCCTGTTTGCCCTGAGAGACCCTGATGAGGCAAAAGTCAAAAGTGAATGTCCACAGAATGGTCTCAGATGCAACTGTAGAAGAGAATCACTGCATAATAGTGGGACACACTGCCTCCTTGAAACTCGACGGACGTTTGTTCCCATTTTGAATAATCCACTAATGATTCACCATAGGGGAGGGTAGAAAGAGCAGGGCAGGGGAATAGGTACTTCTTAAAAAACAAAACGATTGTGATTGTGGCCAACCTGTTGTCCGTGTTGTCCCGTGAGGCCAGCATCACCAAGAGAGCCAGGGAGGCCCTGGAGGTCACAGCAGCGTGCGTGTCAGTATGTGAACATAGATGAAAGGCTACACAGACTACAATCTCACAATAGAAGGGAGCACATGATTCTTACATGCACTGTGGTTTACCTTGTCTCCTCTTTCCCCTGCTGCTCCTAATAACCCATCAGCACCCTGTGGGCCCTGAACATATCAAGCACACGTGGGGTCAAACGACATTGTCCATGTTGTGAACCAGGTGTTCAGACACTTAAGTGAAAACATTGATGGATGCCCGTCTCCCCACACCAGCAAGACAACATGGAGATAAAAGCAGCAGTTGATGGTAGGTACCCACTCACTGGGGTTCCTGCTGGCCCTTGTGGCCCCTGAGGTCCCGGAGGCCCCTGGCTTCCCCTGGGCCCGGGTTTTCCAGCGGTTCCATCACTACCTGGGAGACCTGGAGAGCCCTAGAATAGAGACCAATCATACTTTGTTTTGGGGGGGAGGGGGGAGGTCAAATGGCAAAACAATATAATGCAATCTGTTGCAGCTTCAGTGCGTCTTTGCTATGCAAAGTTTATCACTTTGAATTCATCGTCTAGTCAATTTAAGTCTTCCTCAATGATCATGTTGTATAAGCACTGCATTGAGACTTCAGCTTTCTGACTGTTTGTCCTGAAACTCACAAGATGATGTTGTGTTGTGAAAATGCCGACCTATGAGCCTGACTTCACTATAAACTAGAACTTACTGGTGGGCCCTGTATCCCTTTGGAGCCTTCATCTCCAGGCCGACCCTGTGAGAAACAACACACGTCAGGCAGCAGAAAACAAAAAGAAACAGTCGGTTCTGAAAGTTTCCAAGTGGATTTATTAGTACTTCAAGACTGGATGTCAACATTTTATATTAGGGTATTATAAAGGATATATCTCATTTACTGTTGTTTGAATTCTATTCCCAAAGGCCTGAGAGCAGCAATCCATTAGAATATCCATTAGATCATCCCAGTGAGCGAGCGTGAAGCCGATAATAGAGTTAGATTAAAAAGCCCACGGCTGAGATACTTTTTTTGAGGGGAGTATACTTCATTTTTAAAGTCATTTTTAGAGTTTTCACATGAATTACATTGCTTTGTGAACCTGTATTATTTTTATTGATTAGTTTTGTTGTTAACACAATGTGATTTCCTATGGGACAATAAGATGTGGTTAAATGGTTAAAGACTGACATCACTGGGTAAGTCCATAAACCACATGTAGAAGAAGCATACGATTTTATTTCCATCTTCAGACCACAAACACTCCAATTTAACCGCACCCTCACCTGAGGTCCCGCGGGTCCCTTGTCTCCAGAAGTGCCTGACAGACCCTGACCAAGAAAAACAGGCAGAGCAAAGTAAGAACATGCCAATCACACTTCTGTCTGAGCTCTGCGTGGGGAAATAATAGCATTTGTACCCACGTGTCTCTACTTTCCCAAGAGTTTTTGGAATAGGAACACATGAAAAAGGGAAACATCCAATAAAAGGAAACTAAAGATTTATAAAGTGATCAATACTGTGCAAAATTGTGATGTTGACTTGTGATGTTGCAGTTTTTTCTCTGTTTTATTCTTGTAGTCTTCATACAATACGTCTACAATTGTTAAAATTTCTCTGCGTATTTGCGCTTCACTTTTTATTTTCCCGTATCCTTTTAACATAGGCAGGCTAAGTGAAACTGAAATAAGGTCAGTTATCATCCTCCAAAAGGACACACACATCTTCTGCATGTAATGATGGCGTCATCATCGGTTTATGATAGATCGATGTTGGATGGGATTAAGCATGAATGAATATCTTTCTTCCAAAAGACAGAATTAAAGCACAGGAGCTTTATTTATCAAGAATATATATCTTTTAAATTAGATGTTGAGTGTATTGTCAAACCTTCAACAAAAAATGAGAACTTTTTTCAGCAATGTTTTCCACAGGCTCCGTCTACTGCACAGGGCTTTTGTTACATGTTATTTTATCCCCTTTGAGAATAAAGAATGGACAGCATTATTTTTCCTTCACTCAGGTTGTCCATCTGTCCCTATTGTTGACGGGGTTATTTCGTGGCTTCCATTGCATTCGGTTTACCACTGTATTCAGTGATGGAGCCAGTAGCTGATGAATCCCTCTGCTCAGCACAGCGCAGCCCGACTCTGTGACAGATTGATGGATTTCACCACAGCAGTGTGCAAACCGTGTGAGTGAGCACAATGTGTGTCCCATGACACTGCAATAAGATACAAGAAGTGGACTTCTTCCATTGCTGAAAGCAATGCAAGAGGGACTTTCTTAGTCCCAAATCTAATCAGCCAAAAGAGGAGGGCAGATTTATAGGGTGCAGAAACTCTAAAGAGTTTCAAAATAAAAGTTTGATCTCCGGCTGATTACAAGAAAAGCTAAGGGAAGTCCATAATGTCAGGAGAAGGAAAGGATTGGTCTATTTATTAAAAAGCTGTTTGTGCGTTTCTACGCTCAGGTAGATAGTAGTGTGTCTTCAAAGGGCATCTCGCTGAATGCTAGTCTACTCCCCTGTCCTCACAGCTGTCCTCGTCTACAGATGTTGGTTTAATTGGATAAGTACAGACTACGTGGTTTTCATGTGAATGCCATGTCTAATAAATCGTTTTGTCACTTTTTACCATTGTTTTTTTTTTGGTATAAATGTTCTATTTTGCTCAAACACTGCACCGCTGTCATTGAGGTCATTGAGGTCGGTCCCACGACACTCTAAACTGCAGCGAACAGGACATAGAGATTTATTTTTGTACTCTGTCAGCCATTATATTTGCCACCAGTGACCAACAAAACCAAACACTGCGGCCGGTTTGCCTCCTGAAATAGCCGCGCCTTCACACCAGCTGCACACTTGACTGGTTTTTACTTTTATTTGCTAAACCCTCCTTGGTGTGACCCTCAGTCCGCCTCTCACACACTAACTGAAGGGAGAATAAAGCAAAGCATAAACTACAGAGCACTTACTGCAGGTCCTGGCTTCCCAACAGGCCCAGGTGGACCTCGTAAACCTGGCTCACCCTGGTGCACAGAAAAGACAGCAGAGGAGACAGTGTCGGTTTTGTCTCAAAAACTCTGTTCTCACATTCATTGTCAAATATTGTCTCAACATAAATTGTCTTCTGTATTTATTTTCAACAGAACGATGACTGTACCCTTTCCCCTGTGAAGCCCGGGGGTCCACGCATGCCTCCGTTCCCCTGGATACCCTGGTGGTAAAAGGGACAGCAGGTGGAAGAATTTAATTCATTATCAGTTAATTCCTCAGGCTCATCAATCACTGGACAATATTTGCTAGATAATCATGTTGATTAATACAGACAAAAGGCTAAAGAAGAATGCTAAATACTCTTTTCTTATAAGAAGAAGAATAAAGAAGAATGGTAAATACTCTTTTCTTGGTAAGGGGTGTTAACTTTCTATATAATAAGGACTCTAGTGTGCATTTAAGTTCATCTACATTTAATACTCAACTTTGTTTTCCATTTCTATTGATGAAAGGCTTTTATGAGCTGTACTAATTTGACCCATGACTTTATTTACTATAAAGAAATGTTGTTTTCTAGCAAGAAAAACAATGCATTGAGTATGTGTGTGTGTGTGTGTGTAAACATAAAAATACAAAATGAATATGAAATAAAACCAAACCTGTAATTATGTGTATATTCCAAACTGCATCGTAGCAAAATACTCCAGTTTGTCAGTTTAACATAATATTCCAACAAATGAGGAGCTGAAGAATCACTTACATACATGCCCACTGGGCCCTGAGGCCCCTCCATGCCCGACTTCCCTGTGAAACCCTGAGAACACACACGCACACAAAATACAGATCCACATAACACAATGCACATGAATGAACGCACAAACAACAGATATCCGTTTGTCTTGAGGACGGCTGTTTTTCTCAGCACTCACCTTGTCTCCCGAGGGTCCAGGCGGTCCCTGAGGTCCTGGTTTCCCCGGTAACCCCTGTCATAGAAAAGTTCTGTCACCAAAGGTTGAAAGTAGCAGTGAATGCCAAGTGTTGTATTATTCAAGTGTGCATTTGACTGATTAGTTAGATGAGATCATTGATCTCAACTGTAAACAAAACCCTGAAACCTTTGTCTCACACGTATTAGACGTACCATCAATCTGATGTTCTTCCTTGAGCGATACGCTTTAGCTCAGTTGTTAATTTGCACAATAAACTCTCTCCTGTCTGTCTCAACTCTGAAATACGCGACACACAGTAATTACTGTCCTCAAGTGCTCCGTCTTCCAGATGACACATCTAGAGAATGATAAGAAAGCCTACCGGAGGACCCGTCGGGCCATCTGCTCCTCTCACTCCCGCTATTCCTTGGGAACCCTGGAACAGAAGCAAGAGTGATCAGACAATTGCTCAGATAAAAGGAAATGCCACAAGAAGTGAAGACGTCCAGCGAGAGAGGAGACATTATGAGCATTGCAAAGCTGAAGTATAGAAGGGCAAATGTGACACAAACAGCATTTAATTCTAACAATTTAGAATAGTGCTGTTCAATTATTGGTAAAATGAGTTTGGTCATTGTTTTACTGCTAAATTGTCCATGTAATTGTTTCTTGGCCATTTAATTTTCCCATGTGATTATGCATAATGTAATGCGGATTATGATTGAATTCAAGACTCTTCAACATGCTACATTAGTCTTTGGTAACTTGGCAATTAATAACATGCTAGCTGTAACTTCTGGAGTTATTACAAAAAAACACATGACGATCACCACTTGTATGTAAATGACTCATTCAGGGCTACTTTCAGCGGTGTCAGAGAACTTTGACCTCTGGACCTCCAAGCCAGTCTCACGTGCGAGCGAGCATGAGGCTATTTAGGCAGAAGCAGGTTTAGCAGAGATGGGTTTGTGTGAGCATGAGTGGATAAGTGAGACTTAGATTATACTGCATGAGTAGATTGAGAGTGGACGCACAAATGTTCTCCGTTCTCCTCTCTGTGATTTATATACAAATGATCATCTTGGTGTTGAAGAATTCGTTTAGGCGGTATATACCATCAAGTGGTTTAACCCTAATAATTGTGATCGAAATAACTAAAGAATTTCATAACCCAGCATCTGTATTGGACACTAACGCTGCAGTGAACCAGATTCCAACATCTGGCGGGGAGGTTTTACAGCAGTGGATAAATGCAACGGTTGTTGAACCACATGTCCAATGATCACAGATTGGTAACATGAACTCCGATCATCCTGATCAGGTCTTATAGTGAGCACACCGGACACCTTTAACTGGCTGGTAGCAGGTCGTGCTCGGTCCTGGTTAATCCTGTTTTTCTAACGGTGTTACGTTTTCCTGCTCATAAATCCCTCCTTACTCAATCCCGGGCTCTCTTGTAAAGCTGTAATGATTTGTTTTTATCTGGCTGAACTCTGGGCTCATGCCAGGGAGGCTAAAACGTGCCGGAGGGATGATGTCATGAATCAAATGCTGAACTGACTTACCGACGGCCCGTTAATGCCGCCGCTGCCAGCCGCACCCGAGGGACCCTGAGACAGAGAGAGACAGGGGACATACCAACAGTGCAATTATTCCCAACAGCAGAGGTCATACAGGGTGCGAAACACAGTTAATATCATTATGTAAATGAATTCGAAGCATTTGAATTACCATTATAGGTTTAAACATCTATCTGCTCATTAAATGTGAATCTACAGCCACAAGATCATTAATGCGGTTTACTCGTTCTCACTCGTCAACAATGACCATATATGTTTAAATCATTGCAAAATGGTGCAGTTAAGGCAACAAGGTTACCCAGTTTGAAGTAAAATGAAATCTAGCGAATCAGTTCAGCGCTGATACGCTGCAGACATATTTTGATGTCCACTTTGAAGCACTCGGGTAGCAAGGTACAACAGCCCGGAGGCAGACAGGTAGCAGGCTGGATGGATCAGTGACTGTTACAGTATGAACACTGGAAGCAGCATCAGTCCTCCGGTTAAGAAGATCTGCAGAGGCTAAACCTGCTACGGCAACCTCACGCTGAAGAAAAGGCTTCGGCACTAAAGTATTACTGCAGGCTGAAAAAGAGCTCGGCACATATTCGCTCCCCTTAGGCAGCAACTTGTTTTTACATTATAGGTATTTTGTAAGGAATGAACAGCTAACACATGTTAGCTGGTCGGTTGATTCTGTTTCCTTCGAACGGAGACGTTTCCAGTCTTAAGAGCCGCTCACTGTCTGCTGGCTGTAGCATCACATTTAGCAAACATGATGGTATCCTTTGTCTCAGCAACACCGTTGGAAAGTACACAATAAGGCACCTTTCGCAAAATAACAAAACAATTCATTAAAACTTAAAAAAATTAAATCTTAAACTGTTTCTCCAAATTTTCTTGAAATGTCCAGTAATAATCACGTTCATTATCCATTAATTTTGATATTATTTTCTATTATTAAGTGATTATCAAATAAAATTTCAGAAGATTGTCATATTTCCTTGTTAATGACTACAGAGAGGGAAATATTAATTTACTAAAATGAACCTTTTATTAATGTGCAAATCAATTTGTTAATTATGAATACAGACACTTTTCTCTATGTATCCCTCTATAAGAACTAAACAAGCAGTCTAGTTAAGTGTCCTCTTACAAAGATGAATAAAACAGGATGAACACACACAAAGCACACACTCTGCTCAACTTACTGTCACAGCTCACAAGCACTGCTGCACTGCACACAGACTGCCTCCTGCCGGCCTAATTCACTACTACGTGACTCATTTCTCAGTTTAGGTGCATTTCCATCTCAGCAGTCTTTCAGCATGTCGCTCCTTTAAGCCAGAAATCTTCTACTTTCTTTAAAAAAAAGTGAAGTGTGTGATGCTGTGGAGTGAGCGGTCTCTTCCCTCTATATAAGACGTGTGTGTGTGTGTGTGTGCGTGTGTGTAGGTGTGTGTCATAAAAAAATGATGCAAAGAATATCAAATGCTTGTTGAGTGTGTGACAGGAAGTAAATGACACAAGGACACAACATGTACAGGGGATGGTTGAAATATGATAGAGAATGGGAACCTGTGTACCAGGCTTTCCTTCTGCTCCCTCTGATCCAGGTGGCCCCGGCAAACCCTGAAAGGGATCGAACAAACACAAACACAAACACACACACGCACACACACAAACACACACACACACACAGATGCAAGCTGCTCATACAGTAGAAGTAATTCTGCAGAGTCTGACCTTTAAACATGACTTTTGTGGTCGTTATGAGAGATGAGCTCATAACAAAAATAATATTAGGGATATAAAAGTGAATTAATTTGTGACGCTAATATTTGGTATTGACCAGCATTTTGAACTCGAGGCCAGTTATGTGTAATTCATTGTAAACTACATTTCAAATCCTTTCCGACAGCTTTAAGTTTACCGATGCACCTGGAGGGCCAGAGTGGCCCCTCGTTCCAGTCCGGCCCTGAAGAAGAGCACAGAGAGAAAGACGACATTAACACCCGACAGCCCGAGCGCAAAACTTTCACAGCAGGCTCCCGAAGTCTGAAAATGAGGTTGGGATGAAGAATTTGCATACCGGCTTACGTTTCTACTCATCCATTATTTAACGCTGTAGTACCTTGTTTCCTCTGGGTCCTGCTTTGCCGTTACGTCCGTCTGCTCCTCGGTTTCCCTTCAAGGAGGTTCAGGCGTTACTGAGCATCATTCTCAAGACAAGATATAGTTACACATGCACTTTAATAAGAAAAATTCCTGACCAGGAGGGTGTTGATCGACGCTGGTGTGGTTGAAAGCTGTCTTTTTTACAGTACAATGTTCATGAGGCCACTGGAGGCTTGAATGTTACTCAGTTAAATGTTATTTTTTCGAGCAACATATGACTTTATTTGATATCACTGACCTTTAAGCCACGGCTGCCCTTTTTTCCCTGAAGACCAGTTTCTCCATTTGGGCCCTGAATAAAGAAATATAAAAAACAATTAAGCTTATCGCCTTTTTTGACCTTCAACAGGCAGCTTCTTTCTCCTGAGCTACAATGCATGTTATATAGTGTCATGCCCCAAATACTATGCTACTTGTTGTAATGACTCAAAGACGTGGGCTGCTGCGAAACATTTGAGCTCCACAACCATGAATTACATTCAAGGTACTTTTAAATATAAAAATGATTGGGACATATTAAAGAACAAATTCTATTTCATTTTTTTTAAATTTTTTTTTAATTCAATGATAATTCATGCTTGAGCTTGGACATTTTCTTTGTCACAAAACATCCTTTCCCCATAAAGTTAGAAAAGAAACAGGAGATGACGGCTGATGCTGCCCTGCACTGTACCTCGGTGCCTTTGGGGCCAGGCTGGCCCTTGGTTCCGGCAAAACCTTGGACGCCGTGTGGGCCCCTCTCTCCCTGAGGACCCCTAATACCTGCTGCCCCCTGAAAGCCCTGAGATTGAAAGAGAAAGAAAGAAAAATGTCAAAGGAAAAGGGCACCGAGACCTCTCTGAATCATACAGTGAGTGGTACATGGAACATGAATAGTTTCACATTTCCACAAACATTTGCAAAGCTGTGAGTATTGTTCTCTTTGTGAGGTTGCCAGGCAACCAGCACAGTTTCCCTGTTAAGAAATATTTAATATTCAGTTTCTTTCACCTGCCTGCGTCTTTGTCAATTGTTGTCTATGAATTATGAAACCCTGTAACATGACGTTACTGCTCTACTAATATTTTGTACTGTAATACCACAGCTGACCTGCTTAATGTGTTCAATACAGCAATTAACGCTCTGCTGTAAGAAATTCTTTCCTAACATCTGAGTGAATGAAACCTTCCCACTAATAGAGAGAACGGGCAGCCTGATATGGTAACTTGTATGCTTATAATTATGAAATCTCAAAAACATCCTCATCCTAATGGACCGATGGAACTTATCGGGCTGAAATTAGGGGTTTGCAACACATTTGTCCAGCTAGGACAGTTTAGTAAGACTTGGGACACTTGTACAAGCAAGAAGAAAAGATGGGTATGAAGAGTATGAATATGAAAGCAGCCGGTGGTTGTTGCCTCATAAAGTATTTCCTGTGAGAGGTATCAACCTTCTCATCTAACTTTCAAGAAAGCATCTAGAGATATTTTTCAAAATGTTGGACTATTCCTTTCAGTAGCTCTGTGACGCCGCATTGTTTTCTTCTGTGAGTGTTACTGAGTGAACAGGAAGAAGCTGGCACCTACTTTGTCGCCTTTAGGTCCTGGATCCCCCTCGTCCCCATCTGGTCCCCTGTTACCCTTTGAAGAAGAAAATAGTCAAGGCCAATCATGCTTCGCAGTAAATATGTTTGTAGAGCAATAACGACCACCTACCACCAACCCATGAAAACCCATCGGACCCCGACTTCCTGCAACACCCTGTAAATAACACACAAAGGAAAACAGTGGATTCAGTATTTACAAATACTAAAAAACAAAATCATAGGTGTATACAAGTGAAATAATCACATTCCATGTTAAAATAATTTAAAAGATGAATAGAAGATACATATAATATACATATTAAAGGCATCACTCCAAAATAGGCCCTCATTGTTTTAAAGGATCCCTCAGCCAGCTAACACCCTTTCTGTTGTTGTTCCCTCCTACTCACAAAACAAAGCCATGAGTGGAGAGCAGCGTGCATCATGAAGCCGTCCGCTCCCTCAGCACTACCAACCCACTAGATGAATTAAAAAACCTCTTGCCCATTCGCCCATTTGCCACAATCGGTGTTTTATCCAAGGCTTCCAATCTTGTTTTCCAGCCAGCAGATGGCAGTGTGAGGCGGCACTTTGCTTGTAACAGTCCAAACGACATCTACTCTGCTCGTACAGCGCGTGTACCTACATTAATGTGTTATTATACAGTCAAGAGTAACTCACCATTGGCCCCTCAAAGCCAGGATCCCCGCGGGCCCCCGCAGGCCCAACAGGCCCCTGATACAAGAGAAAAGAAACAACAGAGCAGTAAAATGAGGGTCTGTTTCCTACATGTTGATACATTACTTTAGACTCTTTGTGGAGAATATGTATGAATATGAGTATATTATAGATGTGGAATATAAAAACACAACGTGGCCTAAAGCTTCCAAGCAGAATGAAAGTCTGCCATCTTGATTTTCATCAACCATTAAAACCACACTGTCAAAATGAGCCACGGAGAATATTATGCAACAGAAATACATTTAACACTGCAATGACACTAAGATTGAGAGTTCATGTCTTTCTGATGAGCATAACCTTTTATTTAGTTTAGTTGTTGTTTTTTTCCTGTCAAATATCTGTCTCTATTCACTTTTCCTTTCCTAGCCTGACATTTTTGCGGAGGAAATGCATGTTTGATAGTTTTGCTGTCGCCACATAAGGAGTCATCGAACTTCAGTCCGTCACCCAATTTTAATTCTGTTAATAGCTTAAAATGTTAAATCGGGAAGTAAATCACGCTACAGATCCTTGAGTGCAGCTCTGCTCAAGTTGAATAAAGAAACGTACATGTTCTCCTTTAGGTCCAGCGGCACCGATCATTCCTGGATGTCCCTGTTGAGATGAACACATTGACTTTCACCTCCTGCACTTCACTGGCAGCAAAGTGCACGGAGCAGCACCCCAACGTATCAAAAGTCCCCATTCATAGTCTCGCCTTGAACTGTACCCACCTGGGTGCCTCTGAGTCCTGGAGGTCCCATCTGTCCCTCTGAGCCCGGAGGCCCCTGGTCAAAAGACAAGGAAGGTTCACAGTCTCTAAACATGTCCAGTGTGTTGAATAATTGCAGCATATATAGAACCACACAACATGTGTACCTGTGGTCCTTTGGGACCAACACTGCCAGCAGGTCCCACGTCCCCCTGAAAGAAAAAAATAAACAAGGTACGAACAGACGTCACCTGCAAACTCAGTTTGATCACTCAGTCTGAAGTCTATGAAACTTTCCAGACACGCAAAGTATAGATACATGAAATAACATTTGCTTCATTTTAAATATGACTAATTATAGGTTTCTACTCTACTGAAAATAATACATTGAACGCATAATATGTTATTCATGTTCATGATTCTCTGCTAACCGAAGATTCAGAGGTCCGATATGTTAGTTAAAACTGTAAAAGCAGTAACATGAAGACTTCTGATAGACAACTATGACACAATGGGTAAAGGGGATATGACCCACTGACACGCACCGCTACCCTGAATAAAATAAACGTTTCTATGGGTTAAAAAATTGGAAAGAGTCGTAATATTCTAGGTATACAACTCAAACAAATATGTAACATATAGTAAAGTACATTACAGGTATAGTAAAAAAAATGCTAAAAAAGGTTACATATTCAATCATTTGAGGTCTGTTTCATTTCACTGTAAATGTTACACTCAAAATAACAGTAACAAGTTGAATTGAAATGAGTTTATCATTAGTTATAATTACGCAGTTAGTGCGGTGTCATACCCGTGAGCCATTAACCCCTTGAGCACCGACTCGTCCTGTGAATCCCGCTGCACCCTGGGAGAAAGCCACAAACACGTATCATGCGTGTACATATTGATAATCGGCACCAACAGACAGATGTTTTGTCATTAAATCGGTGTGTCTGCTCACCGTCGGCCCCGGCAGACCTGGAGGACCATCCAGTCCACTCTCTCCCTGGTGACGACAAATTCATAGCAGCATGAGTAATGTCCAACACACTGTCCATCCCTCCAGAACCTTCCACAGTGAATACAACTACAAGGTGATCCAACAAAAGTAGTAATAATCAGGCTCGTTCAGCCAGAAGACATCTCAACCTTCTATCACATCATTAAGAAATGGTGCCAGCGGCACAACGTGCAGAAGATGTCGGCCTCCTCCGGCCCAACGCAGGCTGGGAAATGGTTACGAAAACGGATGGACAAACGGATTTCCACAGAATTTCATTAAATTGCTGATGCTGCAAAATCAAGGTCATCCGTGGCCAGTTAATGACACAAAAGTCCAATATTTACTTTGGTTTCTCTTATATTTTAAAATGCGAGGTATAGAGAACTGATGCAGCCATTCTATTTTCATTTTAAGGATAAAGAAGCCAAGCCCACCAGTTTAGAACGACCCCGCAGGAAAACAGTCAATGTTTCAGTTACTTTGAGATGATTACTGATAATTGAATTTGAACTAGCCCTTTAAATGTAACAAATGGCACATGACACATGAGTGAGGAGGTAAACGACTGCGAAAGCCATGACGACAACATTCACAAGAGGAATCATTCACAACTGTGCAAAGAAGTGTGTTGAAAGCAACTTGTTGGGAAGCTGCAGCCGGTTACAGTTAAAGTGAATGTTCACATCACTCACATCAGGCCCAAAGGGCCCCATCAGCCCGGAGCCACCCCGGGTCCCCTGAGGCCCCTGCAAGAAAGATTCAAGCATTAAGAGTCACCGTAGCAACAAAACGTCATTAAAAAACATAGAAAACATTACAACATTGAAAGATTACAGACTGCATATGTTAATACTACGAGGCAGAGGTTCTGATTTTATGCCAAATAAAATCAAGTAATCCCGAAAATAGAGCGGAGAGAAAATAGGAGTCAGTGTCTCGCTGCCTGGAAGTTCAAAGACGGACTGGATTACGGATTAAAAGGGATTCAGAAGCTCATGTCTTTCCTTCACAAAAGCTGATTGTTGGCTTTGTTCCTCCTATTTCACAGCAGGTTGGATGTGTAATGAATGCATTAGAGAAGCACAGCTGTTTTCCTTCTCATTGTTTTAATTTGATCCTGTAATGCGTTGGCGCCTCGTCTAGCAGATTGTTCGTGAAATGTTCTTCATGTGTAATCATCTTAATGTCACAGATTATGGAGAAATGCTTCAGGTTGCCTATTTTCTGAGGTTTACAAATATGATGTGAAAAAGTGACTAAACAGGAACGAGACACTCACTGTCGGTCCGACTGGACCAGGCGGGCCCGGAAAACCAGTTGAGCCCTGAAGAAAAGACAAAAAAACGTCTTCTTGTGAGGACAAATTCTATCTGAAATGTTCATGATGACAAAGGTGACAATTTAATTGCACCAAGTACCTTCTCACCAGGTTCGCCAATTTCTCCTCTCGGACCCTTGAGACCAATGAGACCCTGAAGAGGTGAAGAAGAGAAGTGTCACTTTCACTTAAAAGTTCATTCAATGGCTCATAGTAACGAACCCACAGGGAATCAATGCTGCGGATATTTTCAACCCTCTCGTTGCGCTGTTTTTGGTTGCAGCGGACTGCCTCTAAAAATCGGTACTCGATCGCCAGCACCAAACAGCCGACTGGTGAATATATATCCACATTTAGCAGATAAATATTACATGGTTCATTTGTTGCCGTTGTACAACGGGGCTGCACAAGGAAATGCAGATTGCAGTTGCGTTCGCTGCATAAGAAGAACACAAATAAACATAATGTTATATGAATTAAGGAGGCTCACAGCCGGAGAAAAGAAAAAGCTTTTTGTGGTTCGGCAGGCTGATGCTTCTGTACTTCCAGGCACCAGCGGGGTGAACCGCTTGTATTTTAGAATCCTTTTAGCTCCTCACATGCTTCTCCTCTCACAAATATCCCCAGTGATCAGGAGATGGGTACCAATGATGGTGTGGGCGCTGCAGAGCGCTGCGGTCCGAGGCCGTGCACATTTCGTGCCAGTTTGTAAGGTTTCCAGTTCTTTTGCTCTACTGTATACGTTGACGACTACTTTGCAACTTTTATTTTCCTTATGAAATACAACCGAGAGAACATCCTCCCTCATTGGCGGGTAAAGAGCAAAACAGAGCTAAAAGAAGAAGCAAATTGAATGTGTAAATACGCAGCTGCTTGCATACAGATGTGCCGTTTTGACTTAAAAGGCAAGTCTTGGTTGTTTTTAAAGCTTCTCTCTCCAACGTCACTTTCAACAGTTACCTCAGATGAGACTTTAACAGACTGGTTAGCAAAATATCATCAAGGTCTGGAAAACCATAAAGAACTGAAACATATCAAGTAATTTGTCTATTTGTTTTACTTATTGCAAAGTATTAAATGGCTGCTTGTGTTTTGACAAAATGACAAAAACTTTTAGGTCTAAACTACACCAGTCAGGTTAAAGTGCTTTTGATACAAGTGAAGCTATTCATATATGAAACTTATGTATATTTATATAACCATTGCTCTTTGGCTACAATTTCACAAACAATAAATCTGAAATTTAAGTGGGAATGACAAAAGCAGCTGTTCCGTGTTATTCCTCACCTCATCACCTTTTTCCCCTTTGGACCCTCGCTCTCCCCTGTATCCCCACGGGCCCTGATGTCGACCACAGACAAGGTGGAAGAAGGTGAACAATCAATAACAATCATGCTGTGCATGCAGGGTTTACCCGTTTACCATTCAGAATGTGCCCACCTGCGATCCAGGAGCACCAGGTGACCCGGGCTGACCATCTTCTCCATTCTCACCGTGCCTCCCCGGGGCCCCGGCCTTTCCTGGAGGGCCCCTAGGACCCCACTTGCCCTATCAGACAACAAAGATGGTTACCCGCTGTTGATACCGACCACTCCTTCATCTACCAATAATACATATTTTAGAAAGTGAGAAATACAGAGAGCGACATCCCAATACGCCGCATGTTATAAATGATAGGTTTGCACAGTGAAGACACTGAGCCTCCCCACAACTCAGTGGAGCCATTCATAACACAGACAAGGCATCGCCTAAATAACAACAGGCTGTCAAGAAGACTGCGGCCTGCAGTAAATCTGCCTGTAGACAGGTGGAAATCCTGCACCTGGCTACACCACCTGTGCTGCCAGTGGTCTCCTTCCTATTTAAGGCTGCAGAGTAATGTCTACCGACAGAGAATGAGCTCACTCTCCCACTGTGTGTGTGAGTGAGTGTGTGAGTGTGAGTGTGCTGTTATTTAAGCTTCTCTGTGCTTTGTGGACTATGTGGCCCACTGGCCTGGTAGGGGTAAGCCCCCCCCATTTCCAGGAGGTATATCACACATCTATCACACGCACATACATTAGTGCTGATGGGCAATGAGGTCATCGACAAGATCACCTCCGGTTTAAATGTGCCTTCATTTAGGGAGTCTGCACAGAGTCTCTAACAGCAACAACATCTCTAACCACCAGAGGCTGTGGAGTTTTATACCTCAAACCACACTTTGGTTTGGTGCGCACCAACAGCTCATTACTCAGCTGAGACCTCACACAATAAATAGCAAAGGGCTTTCCCTTTCCATGAGCCCGCAGTGGACGAGACGTACGTTTGTGTATTTTAAGATGTTTTTTTATATGTGACTAAATTACAAGGGAGGTCTCGGCGAGAGAACGTCAAACGTCTGAAATACAAACAGAGAGAAGCACATCAACTGAAGCCCACTACAATTACATTTATGAAAAAAACATGGAACATCTAGACTTGGCAATATAAAACACTTCCATTGTTTATTCTGTCACTATGGGAATGATCACATCACAGGGAGTTACATGCAGAGGTGTTGCCAAACACCCCCGCGCTTTAACCACACCGACTCCGCTCCAGCACATTACAATTTATTTACACAATGTGTAAAAATAGACACGCGGGGATCCAGAGACTCATATTGTGTGGATGAGCACTGTTCTGTCGCACAGCAATTCAGCTGTGATGAACATCCCCAGGTTTCCAGTGACACCCTAAAATGTCTCATTTAATTTGTAAGCCCGCTGCCCAAAACGCTTACAGTCATTCTCGCCGAGGGCTTTTTACATCGAGTCATTTTGGGCTGACGTCATAAAACGTCGTTGTTGCGTTTGGTTACTGCTACTACTCGTTCATCCGAATATATGTGATAATTAGGGCGCTCACCATCTCTCCGGGCATTCCCATTGGTCCTCGCTCCCCAGCGTCACCAGGCGGCCCCTGACAAGGAAACCAGTCACCAAGTTTAGAAACACAAACAGATTATTCTACAACTTGGATATTTCATTTTTTTTTGCGTTGTTTGCGTTGAATGAGTCTCTAACCTGTACGCCCGGCGTGCCCGTCTCTCCAGGTGGTCCTTCGGGCCCTTCTTTACTCTGCAAGCTCACAGAGAAGAAACCAGCCTTTTGTCAGTGGGAACTAACAAATCAAACAAACTACTGAATCCCAACAAAGAAAGGATATTAATGGTCACAGCATACTTACAGGCCAACCAGCTCGCAGTAAATGGTAAAAATTGGTTTGCTACAGAAGGAATGGAAACACGCAGGATAAGTTACAGATTCAAAAGCACAAACGGGTAATACCAATCCTATTTGAACAAATAACAACAAACCATCTTGTCCCAAACATAGCGTCTGTAGTCAAACCACCATTCATTCAGAATGGAAGGAAGTATGTGAATCACCTCGACAGGTTCCCCCCATGAGGTTCAACGCACACACAGTAACGAATCGCCTTCACAAACTACTAACAGACTTCGTTTTTTGTCGTCTGCTCTCAAAAGCTGCAGTTCTCCATCATGCTGACATGCTGGTGAGTGTATTCTATAACATACAGCTGTGTCCACTGCAGAGAGATTAAACAGATGAGCAAATGGCATCAGCTTGCACGCACCATGGGTCAAAGGTTTTATAGACAGTCTGGTGAGGCCGGGTCAGCCTCGGGGGACATTTGCTGTCCCGGGTTTCTTCTAAACGACTGACAATGAATAGCTTGTGTTCGCAGGGAGGAGAGAGAAGAGCAAAAGTAACTGGAAAGATGAAGAAAGGAAGGAATTGTGATGGTGTGTGAGGATTCAGATCGAACGCTTCAGATCAGTGTATCGTTTGTCTCTCTGCATTCAGTGGTGAACGTCCAGGATGGGTTTAGCATAGCTTAGCACAAAAAGCACATGGGCAAACAGTTAGCCTGCGTCTATGCACATCAACTCAAAGGATGCATTTTTCAAACAGTTATACATTTTTAATGTACATGACAGCTATGAAACAGCTGGATGTCTCTTTATGAGCAGGGACTGGCTGGGCTAATCGCTGGTTAAGTCAGGGGGCAGTTTTAACGGGACAGTGTGTAAGATTTGGTGACTTCCTTAATTCAACACTATCAGGGAACTGGGCACATCAAAAGGTCAGCTTCTAGGAGACTTAAGTGAAAGCAACACAAGAGAATACAGTAACAAACATAAGGAGAGCAAAGTAAATATCTCTATAGATACACTTACGATTTATCTTGAGGAGACATCACAGTCTTTGGTCCAGGCTAAAATATCTTAACAAATTGCAACGACATCACACACAGTTGTCGCAATTTGGACCAAAGTAGTGGACCCAACAAAACCATGCTGCTTCGTGCTGTCAATACTAATCGAGTGCAACAACTATGAAACTCCTTGATGATTCTAGTTATAAATTGATCTGGAGAGTGATTTTTCCTTTTCTTTTGACTTACTCACACTAAAGCTTGACTAATAAAAGAGGATTGAGCGAGAAATTAAAATATAGAGAGGAAAGAATCCGTTTAGGGGGAAGGAAAACAATATGCTGTAGATCAGGGGTGCTCAATACGTCGATCGCGATCTACCAGTCGATCTCCAAGGTACTATTGGTAGATCGCATGACAAGGTGAGGTGACATTGTCATGAACTGACGCTATACAAATAAAGTTGAGTTGTTTTGAATAAAAAAACTAGACGTCAGCCTATCAGCCATCCAGTCACTTGATTGATACACAGGACAACCAGTCAGATGACATCTGATTTTTTCCCCCGTACAATTAGGTCTCTGTGCGTGTTCAAACAACGCCCCTGAGCGCTGCAAAGCTAACAAGCTAGTCGTTAGTTACAGCCTAATTTTTCGCTCCGTTTTTTCCTAAACGTAAGATAGGGTATAAAAATGAGTGGGGGAGCTGGACCAAGTAATAAGAAAAAAACCTATCACTTTCATACGGAATGGGAGGAGGACTTTTTTTTCAAGATGACATTTTCAAAGTGCGTTTGTCTCGTCTGCCAGTCTACCGTCGCAATACCAAAGAAGGGAAATGTGGAGCGGCATTTTCGGACTCTTCATGGAAAATAGCTCAGGTGATGGCAAAAAATGTACATAATTATGTTGTTCAGTCTGTTCAGTTCTGAATTATGTTGTGTTGTGCAACATATGTGGTTATACATCAACATACGTTGTAAGAATCCTCAATATATTTCTCAATAAATATAATGGGTAGATCATTTTGACTTGGTCATTTCAAAAGTAGCTCCCATGCTGAAAAAGTGTGAGCACCCCTGCTGTAGATATTGCACAAAAACGAAAAGAAGGAGTGCATTGTGGGTACCAGCTTACCTGAAAGGCAGCCCATTCCTCCGCTGTGTTCTTCCACAAGTAGAGGGTGGGTAAACCTGCCGGTCCCGGGGGTCCTGGCTCCCCTACTTTTCCCAGGCGCCCTTCAGGGCCACGTTTACCCTATAAGAGATAAAAAGGTGATGTGGAGGGAAAATCAGCCCATGTGGAATAACAACTATCATTACTTTTTAACATGACAGAAGTGATTTGATGAAGCAGTGGAGCTCCGAAGAGAAGAGAAAGACGGGAGTTCACAGCAGTATGAATTAAAATGTCCACGGTGAAACAGAAATATAACCTCGGATTGTATTTAAGAGGTTCAACAAACACAGGTTTGCTTAAATTGAAAGGAGTCCGGTGGACTGTCTCAACACATCACAATCATGGCTATCATGTCAATAAAAAAGCTTCTCCTACCTTATCGCCCTTAAATCCGGTCAGGCCAGGCTCACCAGGACAGCCCTGCCAAACAAGCAACAACACTCAATAAAGCAGCTCGAGGGACCAAAACCTGAGGGACGGATACCAGTAACACTCCAGTTTGTTGCCCCTTTGACCGCCTGTTGAAAAGCTAAAGACTTATTTCAACCTCTTGCTTCCAACACGTTGAATGCCAATAAAATGGTAAGAAGTTAAGAATGTATCAGCATGCGTCAATTATTTCTATAAGTTACTTGATACTGTGTGGATCTGGTGCTTGATGATATTCTGCAGTTTTTCCAACATTGGAAGTGTTACTGAAATGATTAAGCCACACCACAAGTACTGAATGAATGATAGCGATTCAAAGCATCCACAAGAGTATTCTCCCCAAAACACAATATATTTACTGAATGTTTCAGGAAGACTAAAGTGAGCTAAATGCAACAGATGCAGGGAGACAACGACTATGTTCTGAGCCAACAGGACGTCCTTCTTCATGTTCCCTGCAGCCGTCTTCAATCAGAGTAATCTTGTCGATTTTATAACAGCGTGACAACATAGACCAGCCCAGACGTGGCCAGATGTGCAGTCTGGTTCTGGTTCTGTCTGCCTTGCGGTCCCTGTGATGAGCCACCTCTTACACCAGGTAAAGCATCCGGATGTATAAGATGACTTCAGTCCGTAGCACCAAACAGATTAGTCAGAGGTTACCATTGTCACATTGAGCTATTGCTCAACTGTGACAAACTGTTGAGCCTCCATAACTGCTTTGGTGCTCGGGTCGCAGCATCAAAGACACGAGGATCCACACATGTCTGTGATGTGCAACCCCCCCTGATCAGAGTCAGATGGCATCTGCAGGAAAACAGCTCTTGAATGGCTGTAAAGCATGAACCAAGGTCACTCGCTTTTTTTTACCAGGCTCATTCTTATTTTTCATCTCATCCACTGAAGCTAGATGAGAGGTGTCACAGCAAAGGGTCTGAATACTTATGACCATGTGATATTTCAGGGTTTCTTTTTTAATAAATTTGCAAACATTTCTGTTTTTTTCTGTCAAGGTGGGGTGCTGAGTGTAAATTAGTCAGAAATAAAATGAACTTTTTTGATTTTAGCAAATGGCTGCAATGTAACAAAGAGTGAAAAATGTAAAGGGGTCAGAATACTTTCCGTACGCACTGTATATAAAAACTAGAATTTCTCACTGAGGAGTTTACTATCAGGAGCAAACTAAATAGGCCGTCTTGCTCTCTTTACATTGATCCCACGTAATAAAGTGGCATTAAAGGAAGGGTTAGATTAGACAACTTACCTCCTGCCCTGGTGGACCCATTCGGCCCAGAGGGCCACTCTGAAGTTGGTACATTTTGCCATCGGAGCCCAGGGCCAGGTCTCCGTCTCTGGATACAACGGTCACAAGGGGGGGGCGCTCCTTGTCGGGTTGTTTACCGCTGGTGACGGGTCTCCCCTCCTCGACCACCTTTTCAGACGAATACGTGGATGTTCTGGGGTCTGGAGGCATCTTGGTTACAGGGAATCCCACTGCGGGCTTCTTGAGGGCACTTCCTTTGTCCAGGTCAATGATGTCACCGGACGGTTTCCCGGGAAACAGCGCCGATGTTCTGCCGCCAGAGTCAGCCTTCTTGTCGGTAGTAATATTCTCCTCCGGCTGCTTGGAGGACACTTCAGGCTTTTCCTTCTGGCTTCCCTTCGGTCCATTTCTGGAAGGCTTCCACTGAGGGTTGACCTGTCCGCCATTTTGGAAGATTGGATCCAACAAGTCGGTGTCCTCGTCCACCACAAAGACATCTCCGCGGCCGACTGAACCTTTCCGACTGGACCCTGAGGGCACGGTTCCGTCCCCGCGAGAACCCTCTCGTCTTATTAATATTTCCTGATGGGAAACAGAAAACAAGGGAAGAGAAACTCTCAGATATTTCCATAGAATCCTGGCCGATCACGTTTTGAGAAGACAAGCAAAGATGAAATAATCCGGGGAACCCATTCGGCATCCAGAGAGCCTTTCAAAGTAGAAGCAGGAGCTGTGATAAAAACATACGACTCTTCAGAAGACCAAAATAACAAGCGTTACCTTCTCATGTCACGGCCATATTTTGTCAGCACTCAAGTCGACTAGTTTCTTAACTTTTCAAGACCAACCTGTGACGCTTCCTCCGTCCAAACCGGCACATCGTCACAGATTTGGTCAAATGTCCTAACATGTTTATTGTTAGCATTCAAGCTCTCCCCACTGCTGGAGCAACCGATGGTGTTCGACCTTCATTATCCTAGTTTACGTGCTTGTTTGTGTGTGTGGTAGGGATACCGCTGCCGTTCTGCTGTAGAGAATGACATTAAAACTGTGTTATATTAACCTATAGGATACATTTTAGACCACAAATACCACCGCAGAACCCTAAAGAGCAACTCTGCTATCCTCCTACAGATACTCAGGTATCTCTGCTCAGCAGGTTGGATGAACTGAACTGAGCCCCCTTTGTTACAAGGAAACCTCGTCCTCTTCCCACCCAAAGCAAAAGCCTCTGTGTAGTTAAAGGTAAAGGCCCACGATAAAGACCATGCAGGTTTGACCTTCATCGTGGACTCATCCACAACACTCCATTACGGACTACTTCCACTCCACCCTGTCCCACCAAGTCAATAGGCTCAGTCCTGAAAACTTTGACAATATTTTTTCTCGCTGTAAATCAGTTCGACTGAAACCAGCTGTCACAGTGTCAGCTTGTTTCTAATGATTCTCATGAAGACATTAAATCAATATTTTTGAGTCCTGTGGTGTCCAGAGGTGACAGGAAAACCACAGAAATCAACAAACATACAAAACACACCGACACGGGCATTTTCTGTCCTATTACATTACACACACACAGGCACAACAAAACACAGCAAATGTTGGGTCTCAGGGAACAGCGGTGCAGTGAGAGAGGCCTTTCTGAGGACGGAACCAAAGGGCAGTGAATTGAGTTTGATGACTCTAATGAGCTGAAATGAGGAGCACTAAAGAGACGCTGAGAGGCGTACTGAGGGCACGGGGACAGAGGCGAGGGAAGCAGCAGAGTGCATAATTGGACGTTTTGGTTTTGTGTGTCAGCTTATAAAGATGATTTGATGACTGCAATGGAAAAAGCCGTCCTTATTTTTTTTCTGCTCATTAAATCGTCTGCCTCACATCAAAATATGATACAGGGCCAAATTGCCCTAATATACAGCCATTATCAGCCCATTACTATTCATGCAGCCCGGTGCTGTTTGGTCGTGTACCTTTAGTTCATGCTGAACTGGCACAATATCAGGGATGCTGCCAACCCTTCCAACCTCACCTTTCAACGCGTGCTTTATTGTGGTTGAGGCCTGCAGATGTCTGTGAGGAACATTTAGAAACAGCAAAGTGTGACCCCCCCCCCCCCCAGTCACTTCAGCTGTGTGTGAGAGGGGATCAAGACAGACTGGAAATCAAATCTGGAATATCAGAACAATACTGAGTGTCACACATTGCACAGTGAAACCCGGCCCTCGGTGAAGGGCTGACATGGGGAGAGACTGAAAACAAAGGTCCTTTCTCTCTCGCTTATCCCAGAGCAGTCAGGCAGCCGGCCGTGTTCGATAAGCTGACACTAGACCTCCTCTGGTCAACACGCCCCCTCAGCTAATCTCCAGTCTGTGAGACATCGCTGTAAACCCAGGACATACTTAGTTGGAGTACCAGGACATGTTGGGCCGTCAGTCAGAACACCCGCCACCAAAGAAAGACATCATTCATGAAATACCACTTTGATTTATTTGAGGTACTTTTGTTGGAGTTGATTGTCATGCAATCTACATATTTGAAGAACTTATTAAGCATAAACAGTAACGCTGCTGCAAAGACTCCAACAACACAACACGCTGCGTAATACTATGACCAAAAGCTGATGACTAGCGTTGCGGGAAGTTGGTTGGCTCATACAGATGTAAAAGTAAAACTGTTGGCAGACAAAATGCTTCAATCATTTTCCTTTCATACAACCATTCTAACACACACACACACACACACACACACACACACACACACACACACACACACACACACACACACACACACACACACACACACACACAACAATGTAAGCAGAACTACATTGAAAGGCAGTGGCTTTGAGCTGTTTTGACTTCAGTGTCTCATTCAAGTGGACAGCAGGAGTATCCGATAATCCAACTCACGTCGGGAGCGCGGCGCTTTGAGGACGACTGCGTGTAACGAGTAAGGAAGACTTTGTTGACTTCATGTTCATTCACCGGGGGAATTAATAATGTTGTTATTAAATGCTTCAAGGCAACCTAAACTTTTTGCAAAAAGAGCAAGCAGCCGAAGCTGTTTTTCAAACACCGTTGTTTCTTTTATGGTGGTATTATTGTGTATTCTTATCAGTACTTGGTATCATCTGGTATCCATACTGTATGTACGTCTCAGTTCTTGGTCTGAACAAGCCCCTCAGGCCAGTGGGGGGTAAGAGAGACTCCTGTGTAAAGGCTATAATCAGCATTTAAACCAGTGTCAAAGTCAAAACATGTGATATAGTGGTGTTGTACCGCACTATTAAAGTTCCTCCAGTATCTTTAAAGATCTATCAAGATAGCATGCAGCCACGTAGTTATCTTGTCAAATAAAAATCTATTAATCTAAGTAATTAACTCTTAAAGACTTAATACCACATGCAGATACGATGTCTTTCTGAAGCAGCAGGCTGAAGCAAGCGAGGGCACAAGATGTCCGTTTATGTCCTTGTATCCTAGCAACACACACTGTTAAGCGGGGACTCGACGTGAGCATGCGATCCATAGATGAACTACGGGGTTCAGTCGGTGTCAGAATGCCAGGCTGCAGGCTGATGAACAGGCTCCCATAATGCCTCCTTAATGCTCCTGTCAGACTATAACTCTTTGGGTTTCTGTCCTCTTACTTAAGCCTCCACGGTAAAGTTTATGTGCTTCATTAGTCCTAAAAGCCTTGGGCGTTAATAATAGTCTATAATTCATTCATCTATAATTCATCTGTCTGTGTTGTTTTTCCTATTTTCACTGCCTTTGTGCCAACAAACTGACACCTTTCACTACTGTGTGTTCCCCTCTGTGTGCCAGTAGTTTGTAGAAGCCTCGTTCCTGTTACAGCATGACGATGCCAGTGGGCTTTTTTTTCCCAGGTCGCTGCCCGGCACACACACACGGCCCTGACCTCCACCCCAACACACACCTTCAGGATGAACCCAATCCACGCCTTATCACCCAGCATCAGTGTTTGGATTCCCTTATGGGATAAAAGGTCAGGAGAATATTCAAGCCAATCTGGATGTTTAACAATCACACGCTAGTATAATGTATAGAGAGGACATTGTGGTGTAGCTTCTTAGACATGTTGCGATTCAAACATTTTGGTCTGAACTTTACCATTTATTACAACCAGGAAGGGCTGACCGTTGACTCATCCATCACACAGCTGTCCTTCTTACATACGCTCATGTCTGCTGCAGGGGACAATCAAAACCTGTTGACTAATGTAGCACACATCACACTTGGCGCTTAGACGTGTTCAACATCTTTCTGATGCCCGGAGCATAACACACTTTAAAGGAAACAAAATAAAAAAAACTTGGCTAGCTGGATTTAGTCATTATGGAAGTGAAAGGCTGCCAGTAACAGAAGTTTGGTTCATGCTACACCAAAGAGCAAGAGTCACCAATGGGTGGGCCTCTGTCTGGCCCCAAATATATATATATATATATATACATGTATATATATATATATATATATACACACACACACACACACAAACCCATAGCTGATGGATAATTGAGAATTATTTAATTTTAAAAGGCGCATCTTCTCACTCTCTCAACAGGTTTGGTAAAAACATCAACATATGCATATGTTGTAAATCATATCATGTGATACCAAGTACATATCTTGTTTTTTTTCTTTTTCTTAATAACTGATAACAATTTGATACATCTGCAATTGCCATGTTCAAACAATATTTTGGGTGAATTTGTTCAAACTCACAATTGAATGGATTAGCTAAGGTTCTAAACCGGTTCTACTTCTACTTATTTTTTCCAATGACCCTTTTTTGCCATCGGCCCAACTTGCAGGGACTTGAAACTCTCCAATCAATCACACTGTCAAATTAACTTCTTTTATTGTGGTCTCCGTTACAGTATCACTGCGTGCCTGTGCTTCTGGGAAACATTCAGAGATATTTGTTAAACTATGCTTTTCTCCTGCTTGAAAATCATACTTAAATACATTCTGGACTCAATTAAATGATCAAAGTTGATGATTAAAAGTGCTTTTGAAAAATACCTCCTACAACAGCTATTTAGCACTAAACAACACACAGGATTGCTCCAGTTTTATTAAACAAAGAATTTGTGTGCAATCTAGAACATCAAACATTCTAAACTTCTCTGAAACGCTAAACGCACATTTGTGGGAAAACCCATTGAATCAGAATTAGGGCAGATTTCGACGGGGCAGACCTGGACTACATTAATAGTTACGACACACCACCGCGTCCTCTTCATCAGTACTCCTCAGGAGTCCGTCTACATGTGCAGCTGACAGATCCCCGTTAAGAGCAAAGCAAAATCTATGGAGGCTTCTCACCAACGCTGCAGGCTAGAGCGGCATCATCCACACACTCAGAGACAAACACACAGACAATGCACATTTGCTCCTGCAAAGGGCTGATCAAATGGCAAGGTCCGTAAATCTAACCAAGACACAGGTATGCAGACCGGCTGTGTCTTGCAAGCAGCAGTAAGCAATTTGGTGTGAAAAAAGAAAGAAAGTAGGATAACAGTGGTCTGATGTCTCAGGAGCAATGAGGGGATTTAAAAT